CCCCCCCCCCCCCCCCCAAAAGCACCTTTCCTTCAAACAAAAAAAACCCATATGTGTGTGTTGCGTCCACACAGCGCTGATGACATGTTTGTCACGATCTGAAGTCGAAGGAAGTAACCGTTAAGTAATCACGTCATGGGTAGCGCGCGGCTAGCCAGGTTAGCACGCTAGCTCCTGTGCTAACGTAGAGTTCGGCTAGCCAGGTTAGCACGCTAGCTCCTGCTAGCGTAGAGTTCGTCAACAAGTTTGTTTGATATCAGCTGCAAATTAAATGCAGTGTGACATACACTATTATTATTAAACGGAGTTCTCCATATGTTACATTAACGCCCCGATACATCACCAAGTTAATATATTGCATGCCAACGGCAGGCGATGTATCAGAATACAGTAATGAATGCTGCTAGCATTATAGCTAGCTGTCTAGCGTAGCATGCTAATGACTGCAAAATATCCAAACTCCACAACCACTATTTCATAATTAAAGCTGAACGTTATCGCTCGTGAAGACATCCACTGTTCAGTTGTGCAGTAGCGTTAGCTCCACTGAGTTTTAGGCTATTATTAATTGTTAGTAGTTTGCTCACATAACGGAGCTATAACTCTACAGATAGTTAATTGTAATACCGTTAGTTTCTACACACCTAAGTCCTGTTTTGCTGAGATGCTCAGCACGTTAACAGCAATGCGGTGGATACATGAACCGTTACAAAGTCTGTACAAGGTGGGAACTAAATAAAAATAAGTTTCTGTACTGTGAGCTTGTTTTTATTTTATTTATTGGTTTATTTGATAAGGGACAGTGCACATTAATAAAAACATTGTTGTAAATGCGCCAGAGTTAAAGCCAAGAGGCTATTTTTCATCTGTAGTCCTTAAGGCAGATGTTACAAAGTAAACCTAAAAACAGAATATAAGTTACAATTTATATTTTGTTTTTAGGCAATATTGACCCTTGACAATGCATGCACAAACAATAAAAGAAGTGAGAATATTAATAGAAGTAGTATTATCATTCAGGAGACTCTTATATTGTCAAGTACTAACAAAACATGCAACACAGAGGCTCTCAAATTCAACACACACAAAGCAACTAAAATGAGATATAACTATGTTAAATAGAAACATGGACTAAAGACCAGATTATGCTGCATTATTAGACACTAAAAAACATCCATGTCAGAGGCTCAAAACATAAAAGCATGCAGAGTATGTGAAATATATAAGTCAGTCAGACGCAGCTAAACAACAAAAGACATGCAGGTAGATGAGGGTCGACTGGCAATTTCAAGACAGACAGACAGGTGACAAATGACAGACAGACAGACAGACAGACAGGTGACAAATGACAGACAGACAGACAGACAGGTGACAAATGACAGATCAATGGAAGTTCAACAGGGACAGAACGGTGCAGTTACATTCTAGTGCTGACAGAGCTGGGTACTAACTAACAATTTCTTTAATTGATATGTTTTCCTGTTAGCTGATGTCGACGTTATTATGAATGTCATCTTGCTGCATTCCCTGTTCATGTTATAACAGTGTTCCCTACTCATAACGTACTAGTGAACCAAACATTTAGTCTATTATCTACTACTAAAGGCAAAAGCCACACGGTGTTTGTGGTGTGGATTATTCTGAGAATGATATCCTGCTCTTACAGTCTTTGTGGAAACTTTGTTAGAAAGCTTCTTGCCTGTGTGGAATCGTAAGTGTGCTTCATCATGTTTTATGACAACCACAACAACATAACTGTGCTTTTTTGTTTTGTTTTGATAATGATATTTTATTATTTTTTCAGGTTTTGGAGAAATACCCTAATATGCCCATGAGCCATAAAGAGATCTTGCAGGTGATCCAAAGAGAAAGACTTAAAGAAATAAGGTAAATATTTTCCTTTCTTAGCTTTACAAAGATAGGCGACATTATCACGAGAAAGAGAGAGGGAGGACACAGCTTTCTGCCTCTGTTATTGATTGCTCATATCCCGTACTTCCCTTTTTCTTGTTCACATAGTAACAGTTATTTTACTCAATTAATAACTGTTTCATTTCTTTTTGTTTCATTGTCACTGTTCTCATCCAGAAGGTAAGACAATGCTAGCCCCCCCCCACCCACCCCTTATCTTACAAACTCACTGCAATGCCACTTTGTTTGGTTTTACCTTTTGCATGTTATTAACAATAACATGTCCTAGGTTCAGTTGCATATACACAGTGTTGGAGTCACACTCGTATTCTACATAGACTTGCTATGATTTATAACCACATGTTGCATAAAAACATATTTATATACTTCAGTATGGTAAATTACTCAACATTATAACAAAGTAAAGGAGGTTTTTGCTCCATAGATTCAAAAGTTCAACACAGTTACATTATCCAAAAATATATTGGGGGTGCAAATTTAATGAGATAAATGATCCAGCGGGCAATATTTGTAACCCTAATCAGGTCCTCACAATGATTAGATTAGTCTCGAACCAGTTCTACTCAACTGATTCTGGGTAAAACATTCAGTAAATTGCCCACAACGCCACTGATGTGAATCTGACCTGAACTCATACATGTCCTCCTGACGCATGGTAGCAATTTCTCCCCAGATATCAGACCAGCCTTTACCCTTCTTGCGTCTTTCTCCCAGCTGTTTGACGTATTGAGGAACAGATGTGTAATTTGCTTCTTTTTTCTTTCATGATCCAGTGGAACCTCGCCGCTGGCATGTCTGAACGCAATGCTGCACACAAACTCTCGTGGAGAGGAGGGCATCTTCTACAAAGTCCCAGGCCGAATGGGTGTCTACACATTAAAGGTTAGTTAGACATAAAGCAGCTTTACTATTATGTAAAAGATCATTCACGATGTCGGTGTACTTCAGGAGCAGGAAAACATAATTGTTGGTAAACATGACATGATAACCAAAGATAAATATCTTCACGCTCTTATACTTAAATCATGCTTTGGCTGAATTCTATGAGTATGACGTGGGAATAACTGCTCTTCTTTTAGAAGGACATCTCCGATGTGGCGAAGGACATGTCCGAGGAGGGCTCTGAGGAGAGCAGTGACGATCTGTCGGACTCCCAAAGCACAGAAAACAGCAGCAGTGCCCTCGCAGCAGGAGAGGGCACAAGAGGAAGGTGGATGCGAAGAGGTACAGGATCATTGCATATCACTACATCCCTTAAGTAGCTCCACTTTAAGAAGAGTTTACAGACCATAATAGCTTAAACACATGAACATTTAATGGAGATGTTAACAGAAACTATAGTGCATTACTCAATTTAAGAATTTGCAAGAACTTAAACGTCACCACTACGTCATAGCTAAACGTTCCTGATGGTAGACCAATTTTGCAAGCTAACTAATATGAAATACCACCAAACTACAATGTTCAAATGAGCTTTATTTTCAAGCTCCGTCGACAGTATTAAAGAATAAAGGCTTGTCAGTAGGAGTGAAATATACTCCGCTCGCCATCAACAGCAGTCACGATGCACTAAGTAAGGACTGCAGCTCTACTCATTAGTTCATTTTTGCTGGTTGGTTACCGCGCTCTGTTATGACAGTTAACGCCCCTTCGCAGCCGTTGTGAAAAGTCATTGCGGAAACACAGGAAACCGGCTGAAGAAGCAGTATAAGAGGCAAGCATCAATGACATCGTCTCCTCACAAAATAGTTCCTGGAATACACTGAGCATCAAACATGATGAGAGCAAAAGGTGGGTTTTTATCTTTTCAGCAAACAGGCTGTGTCCATGACGCCTTTCATCGTTAATTGTCAGCGGAGAAGCGGCAGGCTGCACATGGCGGTCACGTCATGTGCAGTTTTTGCTCTTTCGAGCTCCTGTGCGGTCAAACCATCTCATTGTGAATACCTGACTGCAACCGGATTGCAGAGCAAACTTTTGAAGAATGATCGTCTCTTCCAGTAGAAACTATTTTGTTTTCCTCCCGCTGTGCTCTCACCGACTCTCATTATTTCTCTCTGCCACTTGAATATTTTAAGTGACTGTTAAAACAGGAAACTGTATTTTCTCAGCATGACCTGTGACCACTTCCTCATTATGCACAAGTTAGAAACTGCCAAGCAAATAACCTTGGTTTATATGCGAGTGGGAGGACTCAGATATTGTTTTATTTTTGAACTAATCAATGCAAAGAAGCCACAAAGTCAAATGCAAATTAAGTGGCATCGGAAAAAAGAAACGAGTGGAACTGCTGCAGTATGTAGAAAGATAGAATTAGAAATATAGAACAGAGAGGTTGCTGTGAACAATCTTCCTATTGAGACGTTCAGCCCATTTTTAGTAATATGATATTTTAGCAAGGTACTGCAGTCTGCTTCTTTGTGCAAGGTATTGGTTTCAGTTTCATCAAAACAAAAGCATGATGTGATAACGTCCGTAAACCACCCTCAGGAAGTGTATTTTCTCACATCTGTTGTGTGTACTTTTGTATTTCGTAGTTCCCTCCAAGCTGCAGTCACAGCCGTCCTCTCCGCAGCCTCGATGCTCGTCGCCTTCGGTCTCCACCAGTAAGCTCATCTCTCCCTCGCAGAAACACAGCAAGAAAGCTTTGAAACAGGTACAGACGGGTTTGCTGTTCCTTATTGTTTATTTCTTGGTTGTGTTAATAACAGCTTTTTAGCGGAGTAAATACTATGTTCACTATTTGTGCAAACACGTCTCAGATGGTGCACGAGTTCCTGCCACACCCTCATGTACATCCCTGCCACCCCGCGCTGCAACACACACAATACATGTTGTACTTGTTAAATTCAGTAATATATTCATGTTGTTTTACTTGCATTCACTAACAATGTGTAGCCTTTTTAAAGGACACTGGTACTATTAAATCAAAATACAGTTCTGATCTGAATCGGAGTCTCACACCTCTAATCCATGTCACAATACGTCGTCACTCTTCTCTGCACAGTTCACCACATTTCTCTCAACTGTTTTTCGCTGACACGTTTTCTGTAAACGTGTACATAACCCACTTTGGCTTGTAAGCAGCCACAAACTATCCTTCCATTGCCTGCCTGTAAAACATCTTGTGCTGATTATTTAAAAACAATGAGGCGGCAGGAAAAATGCCTTTAGCTGGTTTTACAGTATGAATGTCCTCATAATCCACCCTGTTCAACATTTTTCCTATTTGCTGCTTTGTGCTTTTTGTGTTACATTTAATTAGATTTCACTTGATTGCACAGATTGTAATTCACTCCATCTGTGCTGGTTTGGAACCTTTTTGTTTTTGGCTGTGTAAGACCAATTTGTGTTCATTTATTGGGCGTAGGAAACACAAGAAGGTTGCGATTTGGCAAAAATATTGGCGCCGGAGAGACTTATTGTGTATTTTTCTTCTTAAAACAAAACAAAGACAATCAGCGGACTGTCTTGGATTGCTTCTTCAATCTGTTGACATTGTGCTTGTGAGGCGAGCAGACTTCTCGACAGATCCACAACGCAGAGTTGATTTATGCTTTCGTTATGCAACCTATGTTTCATCGCTGCACTGCTATTTAGCCGTTATTTAACCAGGCATGTGGCCCTGGGGGAGTAGTTGCAGGGAAACGGAGGGTTTCATACATTCACACTCTTTTTCTCATACTGCTGGCCATTTGTTCCTTTCCTTGTTTTGCTCGGTTTCAGGCCTTGAAGCAGCAGCTACAGAGAAACCAGCGCAGACAGGGGGGAATGCCAACCACCTCCAGTCCTAGACTGCTTCTGAAAACCATCAAAGATATGGCTGACAACATCACTACAAAGACTGGTAGGTGGCAGCTATTACATTGTCAAATACAATATGAAATGAAATGAAATGAATAGCAGTCACTTTGGATATTATATATAATTAACGCTCATTGCACGATAATCCACACAGTTTTGACGCTAAATGACTGATGCAGTTCTTATGGCCTGTTATTACTTATCACTCATAACTACACAACAAAAGGCATTGTACTATCTCCATCCAAACATGACTCATATAACTGGCAGCATCCTTGTGGAAACAATTAGATCTCAAAGCTTTTTCTTTCTCCTCCTCTCCTTCTGTCCAAACAGACTTATGCCACCCGGTCGTCCCGAGGAAGGTTTCTCAGAGGTCCGGCCGCCTCGGTGCAGGTAAGTCACACATCTGCTTTAAGTTAATCCAGCGGCTGCTCATCTTCTAGATTTCTACCTTTTTGTCAAGAACGCCCGGAGGGAATTTCTTCAAATTTGGCGTAAATGTCAGACGTGCTGCTTCACCTTATTCTTATGTACTTATCTACTCTGACTCTGTTTGATATGCAGGGTAGGGAAGTCAGACAGTATCTAGACAAAAGGAAAATGTAGAACAAAGCAAACCTCCATTCAAATCGTTTAAAATAACCTCACAGTTGGGTGCAAACTTATTTCTGCCCGCTTGCCCGGACTACGATGGAGTGAACTGCATCTTTTAAAAAGGGACCAAGTGAAATGATCCCACGTTAGCGGAACAAAAGTGTTAAGAAGGAAAATGAATGACACGACAACACGTGAGAGTAAATTACTCAGTCTCAGTTGCAGGATCGGCATTGCTTCATCCGTCTTGGCTTACATCTGTTTCCTGTTTTACATTGCAGGGCAGCTGAAACGTACAAAGTGTAAAATAGATGTGGAAACGCCAGACTCCATTTTGGTCAACACCAACTTAAGGGCGATCATCAACAAGCACACCTTCTCCGTCCTGCCTCCAGACTGCCAACAGAGGCTGCTCAAACTTCTCCCTGAAGTTGACCGGCAGGTGGCTCTACAATTATACTTCTTATACGTTTGTTGCATTATCAAATATACTCGGTGTACTAAGTGTTGTGTTATTGCATGTGATTTCCCATCTCTCCTGTGAATCGTCGTATAATGTGTTAAACTATCTCGCTAAATAGTTATTTTCAAAATGTTTTGAAACGCATCTGCACATTTTACACACAGCCAACCTCAGTACAGCATTTATTACTGTCCGCTGATTCTACATGTTTAACTGTGCACCACAGATGAGAAGCATACGTCCATGTACTGATGCAGTGATGGTGATGATGTTAGTCATAACATTGTGCCTCCTCTCCCCAGGCCTGCATGGACGGCCTTCTGAAGGTCACTAGCTCTGCCTTGAACAACGAGTTCTTCACGTCGGCGGCTCAGTCTTGGAAGGAGAGACTGGCTGAGGGTCAGTGCAAAAATAACTGCATTCAGCTCATATTCAAAGAACAATTAAGTCACCAAGGTTCAGTGCTACGACACAGAACATGTGTAACATATCCTTTTGTCTCTACAGGGGAATTCACTCCTGAGCTGCAGCTACGAATGCGCCAAGAAATAGAGAAGGAAAAGAGAGTTGAGCTGTGGAAGGAAGCCTTCTTTGAAAACTATTATGGGGAAAAGTAAGTCCTCCTCCATGATATATTATTTATTCATTCACTAATCCAGCTTTAGAGAAGTTGGACGGCACATTGTTTTTCCAAATGCCCAAAGACTGTTCCTTTCACATTAAAAGCCATCTAGGACCTACAAACAGTAGAGAGTGGCGATCTTACCTTTCCTGAGGATGTTTTTCTTCACGTCATTGACACGATTGTACGCCTAATCTCATGTTTGAAATGATTATTTAGAGCTGATTGCGATCCCTAATAGAATCTAAACACCATCCTCTTCTCCCTATCACTTTACAGAAGCATGCATTAACACATTAACACAAATGTAGGGAATCTGAGTACTTTTTTTAAAAGTGAACAATAACTGCACTGCAATGCTTTTATTCAGTGATCTATGAAACAAAACTAGCAACTTAATTGTTGATGTTTGTCCGTTTTGAATCACTGTCACTTTAAAGCCCTACTGAGTGTGTGGTCCTAATAATTCCTTCAAAAGCTTAGTGTTTTATCAAACATCTGTGTTCCTTTTAAGAGAGAATTCACTTAATTTATGGATTTGGTTATTTAGTTGTCTTTCTACCTTCCTCTTCTCTCTCTGTCTAGTTCTGGGCTCAGCTTTGAGGAATCCAAACAGCTGACGAAGGCTGATGTGAATCAGGAGTCCCCGCCTCATCAGACGGGACCTGCCGCTCAAGCACCAGAGGATCCCAAGGGCGGCGAGGACAGCAGCCAGAGCGAAGCTGCCGCTGCCGCAGTGAAAGACACCAAGCCCACAAAGGAGCCTCCGAAGGCACAGGCTGCTCAGAGAGAGCCAGTCTCCACCAATGAGCCCATGAAGACACGGCGAGCGCAGTACGCTGAGGACCGGAAGTTGAGTGCCGCAGCACAGCCGGGGCCGACACCTGCAGTGAAAACGCCAGAGGTGGAGAGGCCGGCCGAACGGGCCGCGGCAGGTGCTCTGCCTGACAAGGAGCGCATGGAGGAAGTGAAGGAGGAGAAAAGTGAAGTCCCCCAGTCGCCTGTGAAGAAGAGCTGCCCACCACCGGCTAGTTCAGAGGTAAACGAGGTGCAGCCGGTGTCTGTGGTTAAGCCTGCTGAGGAGAGCAAAGAGGTCACCTCTGAGCCCAGTGGCCCCTCAGAGCCGCTGAAAAGGAAATCTCTCGGTGAGATTGGGGAAGAATTGACACCAGAGAAAAGGCCCCGTATGTCCTCAGTCTCCTCACTGTCCTCGGTCTCCTCTGTATCTCCTCCAGCGACTTCCATATCTAGCCCTGCGACACCAACTTCAGCAACAAATCAGAGGGTTCCACCGCTCACGGTAGGAAACTCCTCTGATTTATGTATCTATCTCTTGAGTATCCAAAAATAACTCACCACTTGTAGGCTGGAAAGGTGGCTCTGACAAGTTTGTAGTTTTCTTCTTCTTTGCAGAGTGCGGCAGTCACACATTCACAGTTGGAGAGGCATGTGCAAAGAAATGTGTCAAAAATGATCAAATGTCCGTAGAAATCTCAAACCCCTCCTGCATTTCTCTGCTGTTGATCTTTATTATCAGTGTATTCCAAACAGTATTAGCTTCCCAAATAAATCCCGTAAATCAGCTACCTTGCTATGTTGTGGAGAAAGTTTCATTTACTAATATATGCATCTCTTGAAGTATTTCTATAACATCTCCTTTTTTTTTACTCTGCAGATCCCAGTGGCACGAATTCTTCCCGTTCCTTTGTCCCCGAATCAAGTCTCCCCGAGGACTCCCCTCCCGGCCCCGCTGAGCAGCCCAGGCCGTACCGGTGCTCGCACTTTGGCCGACATCAAAGCTAAAGCTCAGCTTGCCCGAGCGCAGCGAGCAGCGGCTGCCGCGGTGTCATCTGCATCGAAGGGAGCGGTGCCGGGCCCGGGGCCGGGGGGAGGCGGCGGTGAGCGGACCCAGCCATCGCCCAGCACCAACCCAACGTCCCCACAGGCATCGACCAGCTTACCGGCCTCCAGCAGCAGCAGTCGGACCAATACACCTCCGTCTCGCCCACTGGACTCTTTTGGCCAGCTAAGCCCAAACTGGTCTCAAACCTCTTACCCCAGCAAAACTGATGAAGAATGCAAAGGTCCTTCTGCTGGTTCTGTCAGTGCAGGACCCGATAGCATTCATATGCAGCACACTCCGTCACCCGTGCACGCTCTGAAGGAACAGGAGAACCCATCGCTTGCTGGATCAACCAAGACCAGCTCCTGTGTCCCTGCAAATAACCCGCTGGTCACTCAGCTTCTGCAGGGAAGAGAGGTTCTGTTGGAGCAGATCCTCCCGAAACCGCTTTCCAAAGTGGAAGTGAAGATGTCAAACGTTCCCTGTGGTAGTAAGGGGAAGACGCCACACTCTGCTGAGCACAGGGCTGATAAGCCGGTGTCCCACCAGTTCAGTACAGCAGGACGAGCAGGAGTGGAATACACGAGACACCACAGGGAGCTTCCTGACAAGGAGACTCAGGAGCAGATCCTGCTGGCTCTAATGCAGAGGAAAGGCCAGCAGAGCCAGCCTTATGGTGCTATGGGACCTCAGCACAAAGTCCATCAGCTGCTGCATGCAGAAGAACGTCAGGACCAATCCAGGATTTCGGTAGGATATCTGGGTCGAAAGAGGATGCCCAGGCCTGCCATGACGGGGCATTACCTGCTCAATGTGTCCACATACGGCCGGGGACCGGAGAGCAAGAGGCTGCAGCAGTCTGTCATCCCCAACGTGTCTGTGTCCACTTTAAAAAGGGAAAGCACAGAAGAAGAGGAAGAGGAACCTGCCAGGAAATGTTTCTTTCCTGCTTCCGGGGTTAAAACGGAGCAGCACGGATTCTCGATAACCAAGTCCGATGAAGCAGCGAGCATTCAGCATTGCTCCAATGTAAAGACTGAGCCCGGATCAGAGGACAGTGCAGCCGGCGGCGACAACAACAACAGCACCAGCGCGACAGCCAAAGACACCAGCTCTTTTTCTCAGTCACACCGAAGGCACCTCGAACTCCGCAATAGCAACCAAGGGAACTCCCAGCCATATCTCGCCCAAGTGGACCCCATTCACCAGCGGCAGTCTGCCTTTCACACCCAGAGAAGGCTGGATAATCAGGAAGCGGTGGCAGCGTCGTGCTACGGTGGCACTATCAGCATGTCTGTACCTCACACTCTGAACCACAGCGCCACAGGCGTCGGCTCTTCCGCGGCCTCGTCCGAGGCGGGCGGCGGTGACGGCGTCATGTCTTTCTCGGTGACCGTCACCACCATACCGGCCGGTCACTCGTTAGACCACGGCGACCAGGGCGAGCCCTCGCCCGAGCAGTCGTTCATCGAGGGCTCCAACATGGAGGACGTGCAGTCCAAATGCTACTGCAGACTGAAGGCGATGATCGTGTGCAAAGGGTGCGGAGCCTTTTGCCACGACGACTGCATCGGCCCCTCGAAACTCTGCGTGTCCTGTTTAGTTGTGCGATGATATGAAAGGAATAACACTCGGAAGAGAAATCCTGGTTTGATTTGTATTGAAGCGAGACACGAAGCAGGAGCGGGTCATTCCGAATCGATCGCTGCTGCGGTGAAGCGCATTAGCCACACTCACAGATAAAACAACCAGCATGTGGCCGCTGTGGGGAAGGATTTACACTGGATGCTCTTTTGTTTCACCAACATCGATTTCAAAAAAAGTTGTTTCGTGCAATTTTTGGATAGAAATGTCAATCAGTTCTCAATCAAATGAGTAGTCTGTCAGACGTGTGACCAATATAAAGTCAACGTTTGCACTCGGCTAGGATTAGTGTGATATATTTTTTTAAATAAATATATCTGTATATATATATATATATATATAGATATATATATCTATATATATATATATATATATGTATATATGTGTAGTTAAAAAAAAAAAAGGAGGGAAAAATGAATGTTGCTATTTTTGTAGAACATAATGACTGTTGTGTTTAATACTGACACTTTTTATTATTGGGCCGAATCAGTTGTGGTTTTAAGGCAAAAAAAAAAGGGCGCTAATGATAATCATTTGTTGTAGAGTACCTCCTGGCATTTATGCACGCATGGCAGGAAAGTGCAGCTCACAGTAACACTGTTTTATATAAAAACTGTACATTTATTACTGACCACACTCGGATTCAAGAAGTAGAAAGAACGCGTATGGTTTGCGGAAGAGAATATAAATAGAATTCTGAGGGATGACTCGTGAGGATTGCACATTACGTCGATCTTTGACTAACAGTTGAAAGGCAAAGCACTTGAACGCTACCTGGATCTATGGTAGTAACTGTGTACTTACAATCAAACGTTGGGGATAAAAAGAAGAATAATCTATATATAGAAATAACTTTGTTGCTTTTGGGAAATTAAGATCTTTTCCAGGTCTAGAGTCACTTCCTACTGTGTGAACCTTCATTTTCTCCCCAATGAAAGCCAGTTTGTAGATCTTGTCTCCCATGAGGTGAGGTTTGTCATGCTTGTACGTCTGTATTGACAGATCAGCAGTGACAAACAAAACACTCAAGGCAAAGGGGAGAAAATGAAGATACTTTAGCTTTGTCACTGTAAATATTTGCCTCTTTACGGTATATGCCTAGATGTAGAAGTGTATTTTATTTTATTGGTGCAGCACACATTGCTGGAGTATATCCTGTTTTATTACAAACTTATTTTGAATGTGGAAAGCAAACGGAGGAGAACAGTACGTGATGCTAAAACGCTAAATGCTTCATCATAGAATGATTCAGCAGAGCATGCTTCAGTTTTACAGAATGATCCGGAGGTACAAGATGACACTGATGAACAGAGTTTAACACTTTTCAATTTAAATTTATTTAAATGGCCTTTTTCCAGAGAACTGAGAGCGTCAGCCTCCATTTTAATGTGGTATGAAGTACCGCAAGCACACAATAATACTGGATCGTGTTTATATAATGAGCTACTACAATGTGTACAATGTGTGCGATGTACAATGATGAGTCCGCAATGTTAACACAGTATGAATCCTTACTGTGCCACATAGTAACATTCAAACTGTCGGTGTGAAGCGTCACCTCAGCAGGTGTTTTTGGCGTTCGTGCTGATTGCAAATTAAGACGCATCAACTTAATTCAGGCTTGTTTTATAGCAATTATGTTCAAGGTAACAAGCCAAAGTCACCTTTTAAAGAAAGTAATATTGTAATCATAAAGTAATATATTTTAATTAATATATTTTATATTCAAAAAATCTATTTGCTAATTGTTTTTGAAGATCAACAGGGTATTTACTATAATAATATATTGGCTGTCCGTTCTTTCCTATGATTTAGTTTGGACTGCACAGGCCACCATACAGAGAATAACTTGACTTTTATAAATCAAATTGCCCAGGTATCAATATTCTGTGTGGCCCAGCATTTGTTTATGGATCCGTTGGTCTGTATTTTTCCATAGAGTTGTTGTCGTATGCATGTACCTTTGTGAGCTGTCTACGTTTGTGTCATTACCTTATGGGAACACAAAGATGTGTTTTTAAAGCAGCATTTGTAGGTCAGTGGATTAAACAAAGTCCATTTTTAAATGTATTTGTTATTAAACGGGGGCTTATGTCGTGTGGAAAATTGATTTTAAGATTATAGGGCTAGAGTCAGGAGAGCTTTCCACAGATTTAGCGTAGTCATTTCACTAAAACTGGCGTACCAGTATTTGATTTTGTTAACACAAATTTAATACATCCCCCCCCCCCCATAAATACTTAGGTCTTATTTGGTTGAATGTGATGTTAGGATGTTGTATTTACTCATGTAGAGTTGGGGACTGGATTGCACTGCAAAAACAATTAACAAATACAATCAAACAACCCAAAAGGCAGCTGAAATCTTTGTTAATAAGGACTGAAACGTGAGTCAGGCAGCCGTCCCCATGAAGTTACCTGTTGTGTTCACAAAGCATTGTCCACAACGTGTCGTGGGCAATCACCACCATTTTTAAATGTCAACGTTTATCACTAGATGAATTTGTTTAACATGTCTGTGTCATTTTGTCTCCATTTAAACTCCGGGTGAATGTAATATAGTAATCAGCACTTATAAACAAAGTGTATTTTATCAGAGGTTATAGACTATTATGAATAAATAATGAAAAGAAAAGCATTTTGTGTGTGTTTCCTGGTGTTTATCTCACACAGAGGGAGGTCAACGGTCACCTGAAGTTCACTTTACTCGACACGATGAGTACTAAACTCTATGAAAACAGTCGTGGACGGTTTTCTGTGTTTAACGCCATCAGGTTTTTCTCAGATTGGGCTCGAAACTAAAAAATGAACAAGCAGAAAGCCTGAGTTTACAAATTGGAGGTGTGAAGTTTGAAAGAAGTGAGCAGGGGTTGTCTAATAACTGGACGTAAACATTCTTTTTATTTACTGTAGACCATGTTTCGTAACTCTTCTATGTCTTGGATACTCTCCAGTTCGAATCATCAGTTTAAAAAAATGATCTACTGCGTTAGAAAATATCAGTTTCTTTGTAAAAAAAAGTTCAAGGCATAAAAACATACGAAGAACACTTGGGTGGAGAATTAACGACTCCCAAGGGGCATTTGCATTTTCAATTTTATCCCAGGGTACTTTTCATAAAGCGCAAGTCTAGATTGATATTGTTTATGATATTGCAGCAACAAGCATCCACTCACCAAGCTTAAAATGCTGCTATGTACACCGCTAATGGTCATCATCTATTTTGGGATTCTGAGTCAATTTTGGGTGAATGTAGCAGCTATAGTACCGTGTTCCGTTTATCACTGCATCGCAATGTGCTACTTTTGAATTGACCCTCCACCCTTTGACTGGCTTCCTGCTGAGACTCATGGGTATTGTTGTATTCAGGGCTTGTGTTATACTCACCACTACATCTTTTTTCGTCATGTTTTGTCCAATGGACAACACATGATTTAATTGTGTTGAAAAAGATAAACTGGTGAGTATAACACAAGCCTGCAGGCTCAATACATTCTCCAGGAGAGATGCGTGCTTCAATGTTAAGAATCAGTGGGGATATTACTTAAGATGCAGGAAAAAAAGAAATTTGAATGAAGAACTAGAGATGCTGTGATGCAATGTGGATCCTAATTTTTTTCTTAATCTGTCTCTTTTGAGTCCCCCACCTTTATGAAAGTTCAATAAAATCAGTGGAATAACCCTTTAAGCTTAATTGAATCCGTTTCTTGTCTCATCTCCACTCCTCTCGTGCTGAGGATCATAATTCAGAGCAAAAAACAGAAATAGTAGTAGTGCGCCTTTAACCAGCGTGCGTGCGCACATGCGTAAAGTGTAGTAGGTGGTCGCGCATGGCATCTCCGTGCCTGCTCTCGCGCTCTGCTCTTCTCTGCCGTCCTCTGCCGCTGGGTCGCTGACGATGCCGAGCGGGGCGCTCGTATACGTTTCCGTGTGCGGCTACAAAGCGCAGTTCTCCAGACTGAAGTCGAACCGGGAGGGAGCGCGGGTTTGAGGTATGAAGATGGATCGTCCGAGCCGTTTCTCATCGCGCGGACAGCTGTAACGTCGGCGGACACGCGCGTGGATTAACCAAAAGGTGAGAGTGCGACTGTGAATAAAACGGAGGAAATGTCCTCTTTATTGATCACTTATCCTTCCCATCTGGAGCTGATGCTGCTGCTGCTGCTGATGATGAAGGGGATGATGATGATGATGATGCTCTAAACGCAACCTGCGTGATTTTCCTCCGGTAAAGGCCAGCTGCCTGCCTCTCTGTAGTCGAGACGTCAGTGAGAATTGAAAATAAAATGCAGGATTGCCATTGTTAGTTATCTCCCCCCCCTACTATATATATATATATATATACACATGCATCACGACACGCCATTCCCATTGCGGTAATAAGGTAAATAGGTAGTTAAATCGCCATTGGCTGCGGTTGTGCGGTGCCGTCGCTTCAGAAGTGCATTTTAAAGTGTTGCAGGGTTGCTCACTGTGAGGAACGAGGCTCGTGGAAACCGAGCAGTGGGTGATATCAGCGGAAGGGAGGTACTGCAGTAACCGAGTCCTTATGTTGACTCGCGTCAAAGGATGTTGTCATTACTCTGAAGCTGAAGGTGCGGTTACAGTAAAATGCACCTTGCGCCTATAATGACAACCACACAGTCTATTTGTGACCAACAAAAAAGATCTGATATCAAGATAATTAAGAGGTTGTTATTATTTTTGAGCAAATGAGTGAATGCAACGGGCTACAAATCCCATTGAGACCACACCGATTCCGGTCTGTGAATTCGTTTTGTCTATGAATTATTAACAACTTGTCTCCGTTTCCTTATCTGACATGAAACGATCAACTCCCGCATTAAACTCATTCATTTGTCATGCGGTGCTCCCATTGCCTTCCAATGCAAAGGGCCCGAGTTGCCTACTCATGGATTTTCTGCAGTTACTTCACAGGCTGAATATTTACAATGAGCCATTGTGTTGTTTTGCTGACATGTGTCTGTTGGGTCTCCCACTGCATTGCAACTGTTTTCTTCCCTTTCCCTCCCAAGTCCAGCACTGCTCCTCTGACATGTCATCTCTAATACAGCGTGCGTTGCCCATTTTAGGACTCCATTTAATATGCAATTATGCTGACCGAGTGTTTTCAATTGCTATCATGACCCAAGTGAATCCTTAATCCTGACTGAGTTATTGCCATGGTTTGCACACTGAGCTGCAGGACGCCATACGATCTTTTCAGAGCATTGCTGTTTAAGTTAGCACACACTGGTTTATTGCTGTCTTAGAATGCAGCTATAGCGGTCCATTAATTGATCACAACAACAACAAAAATAAGAAATGGCAACTATTTCAATAAGCGATTAATCATTTCAGTCATTTTTCAAGCAAGTATGAAAAAACACGCTCTGGTTTCAGCTTTTCTCTTCATTACATCAAAGTCAATTCGATGTTTTTGGGGTTTGGATAAAAAACAAGACACTTAAAGATGTCACCTTGAGCTCTGATGAGATGGTGATGGGTAAGGCTGCAAATTACAGCTGCTGTCATTATCGATTCATCTTCAGATGATCAAATCAATAAATTGGTTTGTCTATAAAATGTTATATCTCCCTGGAGCCCAAGGTGACGTCTTCAGATAGTCTAGTTTCTGTCCGATCTACACTCCGAAGCCCAGAAATATTTAAACATATGACAGAAAAGAATTCACTTCTCACATTTGTGAAGCAAATGTTTGTCATATTTGCTTCAATAATTACCCAAATCGTTGTCCAATTCCTGATTAGTTTTCTGTTGATACAGATAATAATATAGTAGATTAATCAACTAAGCGTTGCAGCTCTAGTGACGGCTTCATTATATTTTGACATTTCACAGACTTAACCACTAAAGTTATCATTAGTTGTAACCCCGATTACAATAAAAACAGGGTCCGTTTAAGAAGCCCTGCGACCAGCAATAAGAACCTCTCAACACAAGCCAGACAGAGCAGCAAGTTAGTGAGCGGAAAGAGTTTCTGTCACAACAGCAGAGATCACCCAGAGACGAAGAACAAGCAATGAACAAATAAATAAATAAATCGAGATATCCTGCCTCATGCTCCCCCCCCCCTCGGTCAGCGAACCCTTTGAACACGCATGTGATCCAGACATGTTTGGGGCACCCAGCGCTGCTCCCTCATTGGCCAGCTGCAATGTGCTCATCATTAAGTGCTTCCTTCGCAGCTCTCAGTCGGTGTCATTAGCCCACAGGATGCAGTCACTGCTGAGCGGGATGTCATGGACAATTATCATTTGCACAGACCACGGGCGCTCGAGTGTTCCCCAGCCAGCGCACCAATATCTCTACAGGAAGAGAGAGGGGGGGAACGGGACAAAAGCACAAATTGAGAGTTAATGAAGTCCTCGGAGGAGGGGAGGGTGGGGGGTGTTAATTACTAAATCAAAAGTCAACTTCCACTTCTGTCAGCGAGGAATAGCTCTCATCGTAATGGCGACATCAAGTGAAAAGACTTCACTGACTCTTCCAATATGGCTTCTCTTCACAGGGTCGACGTTTCGGGCTTCGCTTGGTTTCACATTGAGGTAAATATGGAACTCTTAATGTTGTATCTTGTGTAGTGTATCAGTGTGTCTGTGCTGTGGAGTCTAAAAACAAATAATACTGTTCTCCAATCAGTATGAGACGACTATATTGATACCACTATTAAATGTTTTCATTTCATAAGAACACAGAGTAACATTACTGTTTAAGTACTATGTACTATTTAAGAAAAATCCCCTTGAATAAATGATTAAATGAGCCCCGATGACACTTATAGAAGAACAGCAGAAGGAAGGAGTGAATGCAACAAGGAAACCTGTATTGTTTCAAAGGGAGTTTGTCTTCCACAGGTATGAGAGCACTGTGTTGAAACAAAAAGCAGACACGAACAATGAATCTACTTTGAAAACACTGAAGTTGAATCAGACGTCAGAACAAAAGTCAAAGTTGAAATAGTTCACTAGAAGTAGAGTCTTTGGTGTGACAGAGATGATTCGTTCCTCCATTCACGACAACAAACATTCATTTGTAGACGGCGGCACCGTGAACTCATCTTTACAATCTGTGTGCAGTTGATTTTTACCAGGAAATGCTTTAAAGGAATTGTTTGAAGGTTCTTTTTTTCTTTCTAGAGCTCAAAACCTCTGATGTAAAAACCACAACTTGTCGTTTATCATTTTAGTTTTATTGTAAGGATCAAACAAATGAGATGTAATGTGTTGTTTCTACAGCTTTAGAGGTGCCGGTAGGCGGATTTAGTTGTTGTTGAACAGGACTAGTTTACAGTCTTTATGCTAAACTAAGCTGAACGTCTGTCGCTTCATATTTAGCATCTGGGACATGAGAGTGGTATCAACTCTTGGCAAAAAGAGAATAAGTATATGTATCAAAATGTTATTTCTTTGAATAAATGGCACATTTTTGTGCCATTTTTCAATATATTTAACTGGATCCCACATCTCTAATATTTCCAGCAATTCAAATTATGAATGACGTAAAAACCAACTGACAGTTCAGTCAGTCTTTCAAATCAACAAAGGGTTTGTTTCATCCACATAACTTGTTTCAGCATCTGTTTAAAAAGTCAACCGAAGCCATATAATCTGTATACATATAGCAGTGAACAGCTGGAGTGATGACTAGTTCAGTCCTTGACGTACAGGGTAAATGGTAAAGATGAAAGAACTGTTTCCTGGTACACCAGCGTTCAGGAGCACAATAGTGCAATAACACATGAAAACCAAATCTTCTATTTTTAAAAGATGTAGGTTGATGAGCTTTAGGTAATCATTTATGTATCGTCTTACCTCAGAAATGATAAGTCATAGTCTGAAACGTTTTCTTCAATTCCACTAATCACCTTCGCTTGGAAGGTCTCTGAGCTGTGTTACTAACAAGCTGCCGTCTGAACTGTAAGCGTTGCATGCTCTGCTGCTTGATGTGCCACAGAATGATCGAGGAAGGCAGCAAACGGGGCAAGGCCATGGTGGAGAAGAGACAGCTCTTCATGGAAATGAGTGAGTGGAGTCGCCTGAGAGAAAATCTCTTTTCACTATTCATACTCGTGTGATTCTTTCACTGGCTCGAAAGTTGCGCAGGAGATACGTGGTCCCTCACACGTACAGCATCCTTCCTCCCACACAAAGCCAGCGATAGTGTTTGAATGTACTTCCTGTAAGCCTGATTGTGTTTTGGAAAGACCTTCATTTGAGATGATTAAACTGGACAGACGTAGCGTTCATTTGAGAGCCTTTTCTTTTTTTTTTTTTTTTGCAGGAGCTCAAAACTTCGATGTAATCAGACTGTCGACTTACAGGACCGCCTGCAAACTCCGGTTTGTGCAGAAGAGATGCAACCGTAAGAGCATAACCATGTTCCTCTCACTTCACCGTGACACAAAAGAGAAGCAGACACAGTCTGATCCCGGTCTGTCTGCCCCCCCCCCCCCCCCCTCACAGTTCATCTGGTGGATGTCTGGAACATGATCGAAGCCTTTCGTGACAACGGGCTCAACACGTTGGACCACAACGCTGAGATCAACGTGTCACGGCTGGAGACCATCCTGTCTTCCATCTACTACCAGCTCAACAAGCGGCTGCCCACCACCCACCAGATCAACGTGGAGCAGTCCATCGGGCTGCTGCTCAACTTCATGGTGGCCACCTACGACAGGTACGGGGGCCCGGTGCCCGGTGCAGAAAAACTGCATTTTGTTTTTCCCAGTCATCTCGCTACCCCTCAGACAAATATTGCGACCCCTTGTCACACCTTTGCTCAGGTCATTACACGTAGTTATGTTGCCTCTAAAGCCTCACCTGGTCTGGTATGACCAGTAATGTACAGTCATCTCTTCCTGTGGCCGCAGTGGCTGCTGTTCAGAAACATTACAACGTCTCACTTCACTTTTTACATGAAAAACTGAAACATCTGCAACCAAACTGATGCCATTTGACCCTATCTGCTGGTCAATCCACATACAGACAATTAACGTAAATGAGTCTGTAAAACTATTCTATGAATAATAACAATAATGACCTGGCTGCTCTCTAGTCTGCTGAAGAAATGTCCTGTTGACAGTCAGCGGATTCGTGGTTAAAAAAGCAACATGGTGTCCTTTAAGACACTAAAAAGAAAGTCTACATTTGTTTGATTATTTGTACATTATATATTGATTAAACTGTAGTATCATTATTCAAATTAAGCAGTCAAGCTTTTCAACTAATTAACTAAAGCGTTTAAAAAAAATCTGTGGTTCTAGCTTCTGCAGTGTGAAGATGTGCTGCTTTGCTGCTGTTTTAAAGTATCGGACATTAAATGTATTTGGGTTTTGGACATCTTCAGACTTTCACCTTAAACTCAGTCGTGATGGGCATTTTCTATAAACTGAACGATTAATCAGCAGAGCTACTCTGAATAAAATAACTGTCACACAACAATCTCAGTTAGTACCAAATGACGTAGTTCTTTCTTTGCAGGAATCTTTGGAAATTACAGATATAAAGCATTAACATTGTATTTCCCAATACAAATGTCTAAATGCTGATTTAAAGCCCTCTCAACACTGCCAAGAAATTGAATTCTGGTGAAAAGAAATCCATGTGTAGGTGTATAAAGCTAAACAAGCTCCCAGAAAGAAATACACGGCACATGCCTTTAGTGTTCTCAGTGGTAGCTCCGGTCCTGACTTCATACTATCCATCCAAACAGGTTTCAGGCCTCAGAAATCGTGTTGGAACAAATACACATCTGCCTTCTCTACAGCACAGGAGACAGAAATGTGCGCTGTCCCAATCAGCTGAACTACTCCTGATGTTTTACTGTATTTCCCTCCTCGTAACATCTGCACCCTGGAGCTCAGAGGCTGACTATTGACTGTGAAGCTCTCTCTCACTATTGTACTCTGCGTGCTCAAATTGATTGGCTGCAGTTGGTTCACTTTTATCTGAAAGGCCACTCTGGTCCCCGCTCCGTCATTATTCGTGCCGCCGTATCTCTGGGAAGCTTTGTGGAAATGACAGTCTGCGATCACAGGAAGCAAGTTTCTCCGTCTTGTCCCCTTGAGGTCCAAATTGAATTAGGCAGAGGAGCTTTCATGTACTCTGTTACCTCCGCTCAGAAAACCAGAGCTGAATGAATCCAGAAATGAAAGAGCTGGTCTCAAGTTGAAGAGATTTGAAGGGGTCTTGAGGCGGCCTGACCTGGATATACCGTGTTAATCTTTGATTTAAGGCTTAGTTCATGAATTTTGACATTTTGCACACTACTGGATGCAACATCAAAACATGCAATCATGACAAATCGAGTTTGGCATGTGCACTGTTGTATAATACGTTCATCTTGGTGACATTTCTCTCTTTTGGTTTTCATCTTCACACCTCAGCAGAAGTCTCGGGTCAAAGGATCATTGCAACGTGTAGTATTTCTGTGCAAATATTACATTATCTTTTATTAAAGCGATTCAACTGTATGTAACTCTATAATTTGATCATTTTATTAAGTAACAGTTGTGGGATAATATTATAACATAAGCTAATACAAGCAACCAAAATCTACTGGTCACACCAGACCAAATAAGGCTGTGGTGGCAAAACCAGTCAGTGTGTTGACATGAGCAAAGGTGTGATTTACTGCTTGTGAATTCAACATGTCACCGTTCTTTGTACTTGCAGTGAAAGCCACGGGAAGCTGACGGTTTTCTCAATGAAAGCCATGCTGTCAACAATGTGTGGAGGGAAGATTGTGGACAAACTACGCTGTAAGTGCATTTCTAAGCCCGCTACATGCACCACGTCAGAAGATATGTATGTCAATGGATCTTCTGAAATCTGATGTCATGGCTACCTTCCTTGTAGTTGCTCAGATCAAGCACACGGGGGCAGCGTTGTAACGCGTGTGCAGATTTAATTGGCATTAACTGTGCATATTGCTGAGTGTACAGACTGTGTGTACAGATATGTGTCTAAAGCCTATTTTCTCTCTCAGATATTTTCTCACAGATCTCTGACTCAAGCGGAGTCATGATGTTTGCAAAGTTTGATCAGTTTCTCCGCGAGGTGCTGAAACTGCCCACAGCCGTGTTCGAGGGCCCTTCTTTTGGCTACACGGAGCATTCGGTGCGGACGTGCTTCCCTCAGCAGGTACGAGGAGGACGTCGGAACGCTCGACCCCCCTCTCCTCTCCTTCTCCCTCCTCTTCTAACTCCGTCATCGTCCACGCGTCTCGTTTAACACGTGCTTGTGTGTGTTTGCATCTAGAAGAAGATTATGCTGAACACGTTTCTGGATGTGTTGATGGCCGACCCTCCCCCTCAATGCCTCGTATGGCTGCCGCTCATGCACCGACTTGCCAATGTTGAAAACGGTGAGACCTTGGACTCTCAGCTGTTCATACTCACACTCAACCTCCATATTGGATTTTCCACATTTGATAAAACTGCCAACAACTCATAGACATGTGAAACCAGACAAGGGCCCCGACTAGGTCTTGTTTTTTCAGTGGTGGAAAGTAACTAAGTACATTTATTCAAGTACTGTACTACTGTACAATGTTGATGTACTAGAGCAGTGGTTCTCAAACTTTTTCTGTCACGCCCCACTTTGGAGGAAGGAAAATGTTCATGCCCCACCGCCCACAGAAAATAGCTTATTGTGGCTGCAATTCACCTGTTTTGCACTGAATATCTTTCTAAGATAATAACAATAAACTGCAACCTGTGAAAAACTAAACAAAACAAGTTCAACTATTTGGCAATAAAGAGTTTTACTGAGTTTTACACTGCATATCTTTTCAAAACAACAATAACGTGCAACCTGTGCAAAACTAAACAAAATGCTCCGGATATGTGTCACACATATCCGGAGCATTTTATTTTAAATATGAGCTTTAAAATGTAGCATTCTAAAAGTAAAATAATAGCTGTGATTTAACAGCACGTGGGACTGTTGGGACTGTTAGTGCACTGGCTGTGGTCATCACAGTGAACAGTGTGTACAGTGTGATGAGAGGGCATGTGAGCCCTTGTTGCTGCAGTTCATCTCATGGAGCAGAGGCTACATTTAGCATACCCTGCCTTATCAATGCATTTAAAACACTGTGACAGCAGGAAGCTGCACTCACGTCTGTTTAGACCTCCACCTTTATCCAGGCCCACCTCCACTCACATCTCAGCCCTGCGTCAAGCTGCGCTACACAACCTGCGTCCTCTTTGTTTGACCTCATCATCTCATCAGTATCTGGGCCTTTCATTCTACTTTGAGTTAAAACAAACAACCTGCAACCAGATCCGCCGGTGTTCTGGTTTAACGTTAACGAGTGACCGCGTGAACTGAACCGGAACACGGGGGGGGGGGCTTCATGTTTCATCACGTTACGTTTTTTCCTCCTAAATCGTGATAATGACGAACGTTGTTTGAGAACCACTGTACTATAGTATTCCTATTTCATGCTACTTTATACTTCTACTCCACTACATTTCAGAATGAAATATTGTACCGTTTACTTGACTATATTTATATATTTAACTGAGGTTGCCAGTTACTTTACAGATTAAGTAACATTTGATTAACTTATAAAATATTTATGCAACAATATATAAAGTACATCAAAGGTGGTTCATCTCCACCAGCTGTTTTGTGTTAAATCAAGTACTTTTACTTTAATGCTTTATTACATTTTGCTGTTAATACTTTTATTTTGGTGGGTTCTTAAATGAAGGACTTTTACTTGTATCAGTATTTTTACAGAGTGCTATTGCTCAGTTACATAAGTAAAATACACGAGTACTTCTTCCACCACTGCTGTTTTATAAGAGTATACAAACCTAATAGCTAAGAAACTACTGGTCTAAGCTTTCCTAAACCTTGTACGTCAGACTAAAAGGTCGTGAAGTCTTAAAAGTGACCGTATGCAAAGGTTTTGGTTTGTAAGATTATAGAAAACGAGCACAGACACATAGAGCAATAAAATAAATAATAAGAGGTATGTAGAATAAATAAAACTGTAAAAGAGCAGCTCTCTGTAAGATGTCTCTGTCGTTGCTTTTCACCGGCCCAGTCTTCCATCCGGTGGAATGTTCATATTGCCGGAGCGAGAGCATGATGGGTTTCCGGTACCGGTGCCAGCAGTGTCACGGCTACCAGCTCTGCCAGAGCTGCTTCTGGCGCGGCCATGCCAACGGTCCCCATAGCAACCAGCACCAGATGAAGGAGCACTCGTCCTGGGTGAGTGAAAAAATCCCAAATCGCTGTCGACGTGACATCGTGCCTTTTTCAAAAGTCAATATCTCTCTGTGTGTGTGTGTGTGTGTGTGTGTGTGTGTGTGTGTGTGTGTGTGTGTGTGTGAGAGCATCTGCAATGATTTTTACAACGTGGCAGACTGTCAGATTAATCCAAGAGGGATTTTATGAGCTTTTTAATTTGGAAAATTAAGTTGTATTGACTTTTGTGACAAACTGGTGTAAATGATGTGTGTGAACCACATGTGGGACGTGCTGAAAAACCATGAAAACCATTTGTATTCAACTTGGAATACTCAATAAAAATGGAAGTTCCTGAAAAGATGATTAAACTCAAAGTTGTCTTTGCACAGTATTTTTAACCAATTCACAACAAACTCATACAACTGTCTTCAGATACAAGCACTTAACTGAAAATGCACAAACTACTGCTGATCCACACTTAACACACTGTTGACCCAGTTATGTAAATGACTTCTGAAGCGGCTTAAAACTGTCTCCACTATACCAACACAATGATACAACACACAAGGCAGAGCTCAACTACTAACCTTTAGTTAGTAGTTGCCGCGCTGCCAATACCTGACAGACACCCGTGTTTGTTCTGCCCTCCTCACAGAAGTCTCCGGCCAAAAAGCTGAGCCACGCAATCAGTAAATCTCTCGGCTGCGTCCCCATCGGAGAGCTGCCGCATCCTGTGTTCCCCGAGCAGGCGGAGAGACCACAGGAACTCACCCATACTGTGTAAGTACCATTCCAAAAGCATTTGTTACCACTGGTTGAGTCATTAATGAGGGAAACCCGACCGATTTGTTGATTAATCGCACAGCAAGGCCCCAGTGTGCTCGTGATCTACAGTCTCCTCTTGTCATGTAACTGCCTCCGTCTTTTATTCCCTGTCACTCCATGAGTGATAAGAGTGCCATCTCGCTAAGATGTCAGGACCGGGATTATTTGCTAACGTGGGATTGGTGATGTACTACGCGGGTTCAGCCACGGCTGCCGTTAACCGCTCGGGCTCCCTCATCAGTCTGTTGGCAATAAATCGGGGCCGGTGGTATAAATCTCACACTTCCAGGCTTTGAGGCTCCTGGAAGTCATTATAGGAAATGCATTATACTGCTACTGCTGCTGTCTTAAACCCCGCAGACTCATTTACATTTCAGTTGAAAAACTGAACGATTTCCATAATCAATTCCGCCACCGAGATACATCCGCAGAAGTCCACACCGCTAAGGTCACTTCATAGTTTTCTCATCGTCTTTATGCCGAAAACTTTTGCCTCGCTTTTGTCCTCCACCAAAACATAAAATCAAATCATGTTCCAGGTTTAAAAGGTGATTTCGTGATTTTTACTTTGATAGGATCACAGGAAATCTCTCAATTTACTTTCAACGTTTCCCATGGCATATTCCATAACAGAATCCTCATATTCATGTTCCAGTCACGACGTTAAACCTAAGCCGTCTGTGTATGGTTTTCGCTTCTGGCGAGTGTCGGTGAGTAATTGATAGCGAGCTACATCGTGGGGGAGAAACCAGCTCAGTGAACGCCGAGGAAAATAGACACGTCGTCAACACATCCACGCGATTTCCTGTTTTACTGCGTCGTCTCATCCAGGCTCGGGGAGGATCTTTCTGCATTGTGCCCAAACGTATGCATTTAAGATGAAGCTATTTTTGCATGAATTTACAATTCATCACAACGTGGAGGATCAGCTGTCGACCTGCATGTTTATCCGCACTGTGTCGGCTGAGTAGCATGAAATTACATCACACAAGTAGATTGATATTGATTCAAATCAAATGTGTGGGTAAAACTAGTTGGGTAGAAATTCGAGGGACTTCATGTCGTTCTGTATTTCTTTCAGACTTCAATGGTCAAAGTGCATTCTCATGCTCTCTCAGATGGCATTTGAAGGATGGTGGCATTGTTTGTGTGTTTGTTCGCTGACTTTTAGGATAATGGATGTGCCTGTTGACCCCTGAGACATCCGGATGTCTCTCTGTCTTTATTCTATTGTCAAAGTCCCCGTCTTTGATGTAAAATGTCTATTTTTGGTTCCAGGCGCGTTTCCGTTTCTATTTGTGTGTGGTGATGAAGTAGCGCCTCTCATCAGCCATTAAAAGATGTTTCCTCAACCTGACAGCCATTCAAAATATGTATTCATCGGTGACTGGCATTCTCATCTTTGGCTCAGATTTAACACTTCCATATTTAACTCTGCACGTCTTGGCACTGCAGAACAGATTTTATTGGAGAGTCTAAAAGACACTATTTTGTGCACACAATGATGAAAATATCCAGTTCATTGTTAGTTTGGAATATGGCACATGATTTGAGATGTAAAGACTGTGAAGAAGAGGGAGGAACAGTGAACCTCCACCTCTAAAGCTCACTAATGAACATGTTATATCTGGTTTGTTTAATCCACAAAAAGAAATGTGGAGACTCCAGGAAGTCAGTGCAAATAACCCCGCAAGTCTCCAGTCTTTATGCTAAGCTAAGCTAACTGGCTGCCGGCTGTACCTTCATATCCGACTGATAGAGCCGTGATACGAGCCGTGAATAGTCTCCAACTCTGAGCAAATGAGCAAAAAAGTTGAACTATTCCTTTAAATCCAACATGACAAGTGTAAACCTCACTTCTGCTCTCTCTGTAGCCACGAGCCGTAAAGGAAGAGCCAGCACTAATGGAATGATTCTCATTTGTTAATGGTCGATTTCAGGGAAATTACAGGCGAATACAGTAATCGTACGCCTACCATTCCCGTGATGAAGCCGCTGCTGGCTACAGAGATCTCCCCTAAAACTGGATCCCTCAGATAATCAGTCTCAGGAAAACTGCAAAGCCTCCGATTCTCTTCTGGATTGTTGTCTGTGAAGAGGTGATATTTCTTGTTGTGAAGAAGGAGACACCCATGAGCATGGTCTCTCAGGTGTGTGTGTGTGTGTGTGTGTGTGTGTGTGTGTGTGTGTGTGTGTGTGTGAGGYGGATGAAGCCACTGTGAGTGAGTAATAATGGCAGAATCAGGCTAGAGCGTCAGGTTTGATCAAAACTCCCAAACTTAACGGACACGCGTCTCCAAGTTGTCCAAACCGCTCGCGTCCTCTACAGACAAAGTGAATCTATTCTGAAAGTGTTTTTAAAATATTTACTGGCGTCTGAAAGCAAAGACCAACAGCGAGCTGAGCTGTGGATCTTTCCCTCCGCTCAACACTTGTCAGAGAGATTCTTGCGGATTTGTGTTTTGGAGAGTTTGAGTTGCAGGCTTGGGATGCACCGTCTGTCTCAGGAACTTTAAATCTACCGTACGGCTTCTTACCTGCAGACTTAGCGCCGCTTCTGCCAAAAGACTTCAAACACCGAAATAGTTGAAAATAGGCATCTTACCGTACTTTGCATTGATGTGGAACACACACTTTAGCGTCAACAGCTCGGTGCCATGCTTAATATTTTGCAATTTTCAGCTCCCTATATAATCCCCAGAAATCCCTTTTTAAATTTTTAAATCGCCTTCCTCTGTTTTTAACATCTTTCTTTATTCTCCTGGTCAAATTCCATCAGTGCCTTTTGAAATGGCGACAACGGGCATGAAATTCACTTTTCTGTGAGTGTGATCCATTGAGGTTTTTAATGGCAGAGGCATCGGGGGAAACAGGAGCACCTTTTGCCAGCGGGAGAGGATGCTTCATCTTTGCGCATTATTTTTAGCCGGCTGAGAGAAGTTGAAGGCCGCCGTGCATCCGTTGTTTGTCAGAAATAAGCTGAATATGTGTGTATGAAGCCTCACCAGACTTCACTTCCTCCTGTACCCCTGCCAAGTGCAAGGAAAGGGTGGCCCATTGTCATTCACTGCACGCAGGTAGCACGAGGCTTAGCGCATTGCAGACTCTGATCTTTTAGCGCCTAAATGTTGTGTTAACTCACTCCGGTTTGACCTCTGAGGCACCGGCTGAAACACTGGACGGTGTGTCTTTGATCAGCATTTCTTCAGAGCCGGTGAACCACGGGGGCTGTAGTGTAGACACACTGATGTGAATGAGTTAAGACGTCTGTTAGAATGAATCCAAATCTGAAATACTTTTACGTAAGAAGAAGAAGAAGAAGCCCTACAGTTCCACAGGGGTTATATTGGTGTGCTTGAAAAGGACTGCTGATTATTTATAGAGGGATAGCTGTGAGGAGCTTTGACTTATGTAACTCGCTGAAGGTAAGAGGAGGAAAGAGTCGAGATGTTTAAAATGCAATAATAGTATGCACTGCAGAGGTTTGTTTTCTCTGTTAGGGAGGAGAGTAGAAGTTGCAATTGAGGTATTTTCAGCAAGTGGCATTTCCCTAATTTCCAGTGTGTATTCATGTGTCAGAGAGAGGCGAAAAAGACAGAGTCAGAGCAGAGAGAGCGAGAGAGAGAGACAGCGTGTGAGAGAGAGCGAGAGGGGAGGAATCCACGTCGTCATGAAGTCACGTGACCGCCGAGTTTCCTTGGAGACAGCAGCAGTGTAGTACATTGAGACGCTCGCTTGCTCAGTTGAGGGCAGATTAGGCATCTGGAAACAGCTGCAGTCGGATGTATTTTGCCAGCCGGGCAGGTGCTCTCTCTCCTCACAGAGGTAAGTGTGATGCCCTGCGTCTCCTCTTCTGTCTGCACCCTCGGGGTGGATTATTGTAAAGATAATGAGCGTTAAATGAGAGGTAAACGTGCACACAGTCTAGTCTGTGAAGGAGACTAAAAGGCAGCATGTGCAGGTGTTGAGGACTGACAGTTTTTATATTATTGTTTGATTGTTGTTATAATATATAAATGAGTTCTGCAGGACCGTCCTTGGCTAGTACAGAGGGAAATGTGAATGTATGAACCAATAAATAATTACAATGTGTCTTTAAAAAGAACCCGCTTAACCCCCACGAGCATCCACATTAATGCAGGGAAATATGTACTTTGGCTTATGAACAGCTCACAAATAATTTGAATACAATTAATGATCCAGAAGTGATGCAGCTTCACTCGCTCTTATTTTTAGAAGCACAATAATACACAGAGAAGAAGAGCGCGTGTGCTGCTGAGGCACTTTGTGGCACCGTGGCAGACAGACGCTCTGTGTCTTGTGCCGATAACAGTATTCCGCACAACGGGGATATAAATAGTTCGATTTTGGCCAAAAAAAACAACCTGATTGGACAAATAAGCGTATCGGGACACCATGCCGTTCAGTGCGTTTGCCTTTTATGTGATAATGACGTGCTTTAAATAAAACCGTCAGTTACAATAGACAACTACAGAGAGCTACTACGTTGCAAGATTGAGGAGATGCTACTACAGAGACGTGGAAATGGAGGAGAGCTCTCTGTGGCGGGTGAAGTGTGAAGCGGAGAGCACCTGAGCGATATATTCTGATCGGTTAATGAGACTCCGTGGTCCGAAGGGTTTGGGCTCCGGTGAGCTCGCGAGGGGGGGGGGGGGGGGGGCACGGATGCAGCAGCCAGATGGACCCCATCGCTTTGTTTACTCTCACAAATTACCTCCCACAATGTCACCTTTCCTAGTTTTTCGCAGACCTCCAGTTTAATTAGTTTCCTTGTCTCTCGCTCATGTTAATTCGGTTGAAGCTAATAGCCCTAAAACCAGTTAAATTCCCGGAAAAGTCAATTATTTCGTTAACTCAAGAACAACATCTTGTGCACCACACTACAGTACGGTTTATAATGATCCCCCTGCCACCACCTCTTACTCTCTTTTGTACAGTTGGATTAAATTGAAGTCAGGATTGCTGATTCATGATTACTAATAAAATGCAAATACCCTCTACCCCATTCCCTGGTGACAAGCGCCACAGGCCTCTGCAGTGTAGCATTAAAGACCTCTAATCTTGTCTTTTAGTCAGCCGAAACCAGCGGCCAACAACATGAACGACACAATGCTCATGTCCTCTGGGACACCTACTCCTACCAAAAGGTAAGCACTCCCAGGCAATAAACGCACAATGTCTTTTTAAAGATATGGTTCTGATTATTCCACATCATTAGCTAATGCTTTCTCGAAAGATGACAAAGTGTCACGCTGAGTTACACGCCTGCAAAAATCCCACAGAATTCACTCAGAATGGGTGACAGGTTCCCTCTCATCGGTGGAAACGGCGAGAATAGCGCAGAGAATCAGACTACAGCTGTTATTCGTTCCCTCACACTTGACACACATTTCTGCATCCGAGCAGCGTGCCCTTGTGAGAGTATTTTTGGAGAAAAATATTGTTACGCTGTCGTGAAGAATGTGTGAGCACTCCTACTTAAAGGGTTGATATGACAAACACATTATGATAGAATTGGTGCCTCATCATGTAAGCGGATAGCAGGCGAGAGGCCCCGTGAAAGCAGCCTAATTGTCCTCTCATTTCAGCCCCTCTCAGTTAAAGGCCACCTCTGTTATTATTTACTCCCATTGGTAATGAGCCATTGTGGTTATGAATGATAATGGAGAGCACTTTGAGGCGGCTTCACTGGATCTGCACTCTGTCCTGTGCGGGGTGAAGTTTCCCTTTGTGTACAGTAGCTATCTCTCTCACATCTTTCCATCAGTTTGTGTTTGCAAGATGAGACTGCTCGGGGACTCAGGACTTCCCACGGCACATTAGAAGGGACGAGAGACGCCACAGTCTGGAGTACAGAAAGAGAAGAGCGGTGTGCACATCAACCCTGTGTTAGATTTGGTGTTTGATTGAAATCCAGAAAATAGACTTTGGTAGAGAATTCAGAAAGAGCTTGAGTGAAGTCTGTGGCTGTTTTTTTTCCACGTCTGCTCTTCTGGGCCGGGATATCCTACGGTACTACCGAGGACCCAGGCAGCTGAGGGGCAGCATGCCCACTGCAAAAAATCTCCATCAGCGCAAGACTGAACCTCAAAATGTGAAAGTCAAAGGGGTGAGGTCATGCCGACACTCCCTTACTGCTCTCTGTTACGTTAAAGGTGTAATTATCGAGCCTTGCTGGAAGATTTCCTATTTAGAACAACGTGATGCTAACAATCAATACTAGATTAAGTTTCCTGCAGAGATGAACGTTTTGTGCAGTGCGGTCTCGTCTCAGAGGGCTGACAGTATCACGATTAGAGAGGGTTTGAAGGAGGCTGACGAGACGGGGACGCCCGAGGCGGTAAATGATGCCTCGCACCCAGACCCGTGGAGGTCAGTGGAAGACGTCACGTGACGAGATCGAGGCGACGCTCTCCTGAGGATTGTTTCACCGTGGCAGAAATGAAGGAGCCTGATAACCTTTGTCTTGACATTTTGCTCCGTGAGTCAGAGCTGCTTTGGGAAGATGTCATGCACCGAGGATGCTGCTGCCTTGGGGGGGCATAACAACTACAAAGCTGCCATATTTAGGGCAGAAATTGTGCATTAAGCCACCGTGACACTTCCAAAATAAGTTGTGTTGAGAGTCAGTGTGGATACCGGTAGATAGGATGTTGAATGAGGCGGGAAGGAGCAGGCTTCACTTAAGGTTTGGTTGCAGAGAACAGAAGGCCGGTTCCTCGCAGCCTCTCGCTGTGTCATATTTGGTTTGTAAATATTAATCTATTATTATAATTACCGGTTCTGCCTGCTCTCACATGAAGGGCCGATGAGTCAAAGATGCAGCTGCTGAATAATGCAAAGCTCCTTGTGGCTCTGCCTCAGTTCAAGAGCCTCCAAACTGAAAAGCAGCACCGGTGCCATCCTTCGTTCGTTGACCCTTTGAGACTCAGAGAAAAACACAAAACACATCCGTGATTGTGTGCCGTCAGTGCAAAGTAGAAACTGAATGCACTCTGTTTGAGAAATGGTGGGTGTTGTGCTTCCAGCCTCCATCACAGTCTGCTCTCTGATACTGTCTGCTCTGCTGACATGGCATCTGCTCCTTCCCACCTCGCTCTCTCTCTCTCTCTCTCAGACACAATCGCTCACCACCACGAGCTCGTCCTCCAAGGGCGAACCGCAATTTATTACATGTTAGTCATGCAGAACCACGGCGGCGGAAGATAAAAATTAAAAAAGGAAAAAGAAAGCGCCGTGTCGAGCTTGATGAGTTTTGATTCAGAGTTAACGGAGAATTGGCTAAATGTGAGTCAGAGTAGAAACACAGTCATTACCTGTGTGACACATGCTCGACATAAAAGCCTGTATTAAAACAATCTGTTTGTACCTCAAATGGATCACGCTGTGCATTGCAATTACTCAATATTATCGGGTAGTGATTTTCAGTGGAGTTGTATTGTGATGAAAGTCAAATATTTTATTACTATTTTACAAATTTCCGCCATCAAAATGAATGACTCCAGGCTGATTTTAGTGAAAAGTTAACAAAATGAGTTCTGACTGAGATAATTCATAATCATGGAACGAAGTTCTTGATTTGCATCGAACATTGATTTAATTACTTTAAATGTGATTTTACGTACATTTGGCAACACTTCACTTTAAGTCGCCCTGTTTAGCATTAATACGCAGTAAGAATACTAATATAAATTGAATGCGTGGAGCTCATTCTAATCATTTTCATGTAAGGTAACATGAGGCCAGGGATTGCTGTGTCACTAAAAAACGAGTCTGAACAATTGTAACTAAATACACAAAGTTATACAGAAGAGATCGATCACGTCACGACCGATATCCAAAGCAGCTGATACGGCAAATCAGATCTGCAAATAGCTAACCAATGAAATATCTAAAGATTCAAGATTTAAAAGAACTATAAGATAGCTTCGCTGATATCGCAAGATGATTATCCCTTACTGTCAATAAGACAGTCCATCCAAGCGATACAGAGTGATGATATATAAGTATGACATTTGTCTTTAGATTGGATTAAAAATGCACAAAATATATTGTTATTAATACCAGGGTATTGATTCCAACCACATTGCCACGTCCTATTGACAAGTAAACATGCCATCCATCGTGAAATCTGCCGGAGAAAATCAGGAACAAGATGCATCATCCCTCCAGATGTTCAACAGATGTACGTCTCTAGCCTCTAGAAGTCTTGACCTTCAGTTATATCACAATCAGGCCAATCAGAACACAGTGTTTAAAAAGCATAATCGGTCACGTTTTACGACCGAAATAGGACCAGTGGTGTCTGAGATATTGTGTGTGAGTAAAAAAGAAGAGAGAAAAGCTGCCATTTTCAACTGAGAGAGAAAAATAAAAAGTGTCTGGGAAAGAAGCCAGTTGAGGAGGGCTTGAAAGCAGTCAATGCATCTTTGTCCAAAACCTGGAAGAGACCATCAGGTGGTGCCAGCAAACTCCCTGATGGAGCAGCTTTGATACTGATGCTGCCCAAACATCCAGACATGCAGTCCAGCTCCAAAAGAGCTCGTTGGGTCCCAGCATTTCCTGGGCCAACCCGACCCTGATATGCGTTAATGTCTTACTTTAACCATATAAAAAAACCTCAGGCTCTGTCTATGCTTTAGCCTGAGGATGCGAGTCAATTATTTACATAGTGTCCCATTTTGCAAGACATTTCCTGTCAGTCTATTGCAAGACCAACTGAATGTTTTTTTAAATCAGGTGACACTATCTTGAAACAAGTCGAATGATCCGAAGAGTATTTTAAGATATCATCACTGGGCCTTTGAAACAAAGCGCGTTAGAAGCTGGAGCAGCTAAAACGATCTCATCACACAGGTAGCTTTTATTTTTATCCGCTTTGAGAAAGATAAGATTTTAATAGAAAAGTGGATGAAGAGGCTGGTTTGCAGTGTGTTTAAGGGCCTGGGGTAGTCAAAGCTGCAGGCGCTCTGTGCTTGTTGATGCGGCGGCTTTGGAGCCAGATTGGGTTTAATGGTCTTAATCACCGGTCACTCTCCCGTCAGCGTTAGATGGAGCCCAGCTCCGTTCCTCTCCTTCACTCTTCATTGCGGACCGCCTGCCGAGAAGGGACAGCATATGTCCCGTCATCTGTCCACACCATATGTCACGCCCATTTAAAGTCCCATGCCTTATTTGACATTTCCAGTCGGTGATGAAATGGCCAGAACGAGCATCGCAACGGCATTCTCTATTATCCATCTCAGTCCACTGCCATGACCAATTATGTGTCCATCAACACCAAGCGTCAAACATTAAGGTCACCTCAATTCTACAGTTTGACGTAATCACTTTGACTCGACAAACTTTCCCTCCTTCTTACACAAGAGCTTTTCATAGTAGAGTCGGCGTTGCTGTGTATGTGTGTGTGATGTATCTCTCTGTGACTTTGGGCAGTGTCTTGGAGAGTCCCAGTCGGCTGGATGAAGAGCACCGCCTCATCGCTCGCTACGCTGCCCGCCTGGCAGCCGAGGCGGGCAACTCCACAGTGAGTGTCTCGCAGTCCGGCCCACGGTGGGCTTCAGTCAACCCGCATCGCACGTCTAACGTTACGACAAGTTATTCTAGGCGCTTCATTGAGGCGACAGAACTTCCATGTTGAAACTGCAGCGTAAACGCTACTCGCACTGTTCAAGTCAAACCATGTAATACTGGTTTCCCTGCAGTTTTTACTTGTTATGATTACTTTAAAAAAATCATCCGCTGTGAAAATCTTGTTTTGGAGACACATTTTTGGTGATTATGGTGATTGATAACCAACACAAACGCAATGTGTTTCCTGTGACTGCTTCACAATAAAAGCCACCGCGTGTTTCACCGGTTGATGGCTTTTAATGTGTGACGCCGGCAGCAGGAAATGTTCGGTTTGCTCTTGCAACTTAATATAACTCTGACGTGGGTCAGTGAGGCTAATATCAATTAGATAAAATTGTTTTCCTGTGAATCCCTCACACCTATGTAGGCAATCTGAATCCAGTGCGAGAATGGCGGACTCCGCCACTACTAATAAAAACTAGAAACAAGAAATATTCATGACTATATAAGCACCATCAAGGAATTCTTTGATAAAACATAGAAGCATGTGTTCATAAACATTTCAGGAGAGAAGTTAACTACGACTCCCAAGGAACAGTTTTCTGAGGCAGTAACTGTTCACGTAGGGTTACTTTGGGTTTATACTCTGCATCCCTTTATGTAGAGGGGTAAAGGAACGCTGTGGTGAGATGAAATGACTCCCTGTTCATGCAGAAACATTACACGCCTCCAGCAGAGCGTCATTACTGCTCACCGTGGTCAGAAGGTAGCGTTTGGTTGTTAATGCCATTCTGTGCTAATTCTGTTTTTCAGCAGCAATGTCCTCCCACAGATCTGGGTTTCAACTTTGATGCCAATAAGCAACAGAGACAGCTGATTGCAGAGCTGGAGAACAAAAACAGGTAAGATGTAGTATTCTCACATCAGTTATTTATTAGAAGCTAATCAGTGCTATTTTACTGATGGGTTGGCTGGTTTGCAGTGGCGTAAAGTAACTAAGTATTATTATAAGTTAAATAAACTACTAAATTAAGTACTGTAAAATATAGTTTCGAGGTACTTTGTGTTACTTAAGTATTATTATGGCACTTTATTATTCCATTATATTCTTGGGAAGACATATTGTACTTTTTTTACTCAACTAAATTTATCTGATTTTATATGCAAAGCATGTGATAAGTTTATGAAAATGATGCACTGTTATAAATTTAAACAACTCAGCACTATATAGAATAGTTAAAGGAATAGATTGTCATTCTGGGGGATACGTTTTCTTGCCGAGAGTTAGAGGAGATGATAGACTCCACGTCCAGTAAATATGAAGTTGGTTAGCTTCACTCAGTGTGAAGACTAGAATCAGGGAAACGGCTAACCTGGCTCTGTCCAAAGGTAACGACATCTGCCTACCGGCACCCCTGAAGCTCTTTAATCTAAACGTTAAATCTCGATTGTTTCACCAGAAACAAAAATCAAAGTGTTCAAACACAAAGTTGTGGTTTCATGTGCCAGATTATGTTTTGGCAGCAAATTCCCAACTGTGAAAAAAAAGATGCATAATTCTCGAAATGTTGGATTATACTACATCACTATGAAAGCAGTCATCCTGCACGAGTAGTACTTTTAATGTTACTGTTAGTACATGTTTTGCAGATAATACTATTACGTAAGAAAAATGTAGAATGCAGGAATTTTACTTTATTGGATTACCACTTCAATTTAAAGGACTAGCGTGTCGGTTTTAGGGGATCTATTGACAGAAATAGAATATAATATTCATTATTATATTTTCAGTAGTGTATAAACACCTGAAACTAAGAATCTTTGTGTTTTCAATAGCTTAATATTCAGTTAAAATCTGAACCCTAACCGCTAGATGGAGCCTAAACTCTGGTCCTCTAAGTAAAGAATCTTTGGCTGTTTACTTAACTGGTTGATTAACTCATTCAGGGAGATCCTCCAGGAGATCCAGCGGCTGCGTTTGGAGCACGAGAAGGCCTCCCAGCCGACCCCAGAAAAAGCTCAGCAAAACCCCACGCTGCTTACTGAACTGCGGCTCCTCAGGTATCATCCCTGCTGACACCACCGCCCCATCTTCCTCCCAACAACAGGGAGAGATATAGCCATATATCAAAGCAAATCAAGAAGTAAAACCACTTCAGGGCTGTTGCATTAATGTAGGCTGGACTCATTCTTCAAGAAGAAATAACGTCCTGCTAATTCAGGAGGGGGGGGGGGTGAATTCGCTTCACCGGCAGCAACGTGTGCATTTGTCATGCTGGCAGGACGCCGAGACCCTTGGGTTCAGTTCTTGGAAGAGACTCACCCTGAGAGGACGCGTCAACGGCACTTAAAGACTCCTTGTTTGTCCGGCCTGGCCTCAATAATGAATCAGCAGTCAGGTCAATAGCCATGGCAGCGATTTCAATGCAACATTGATCTAATGTTTTATAACGTACTTCAATGCTGGGTAATCGCAGTTATAGCAGAGAGGAATTTGAAGTGTACTTGCTCACTCTTTGGCATGTTAGAGGATTGTTGGATGTACAGGAATCTAATCATACGTTGTTTTAGAACATAGTAATGAAGCTATTGGTTTATATCACTGGAGGATACATCTATTCCACTTATTATTTCTCCCAGTTTAACTCAAGTACCAGCTCACTTGAGCTTGTTTGTGATCCAGGTTTATAGCGGGACATTATCTCACACGTCACACTGGCTGGACGGCTGTGACGTTACCTTTATTCGGCCCCCGGCATACAGAACAGAGCAGAGGTGTTCACAGTCTGCAGATGTTTGTTTTTGGAGGTTGACTAAAAAACAGATTTAGCAAAATGCAGTTACTCACTGTGAACACCAGAGGGCGATAATAGGCCAGAATCCTCCACTGAAATGGCCAGATATTTACAGGGGTGTCCAACATAACTTACCTGGGAGAGGTCAGCTGCACCACCATAAATAAGACCTTTGTTGGTCACAAATATCTATGTTGACCAGTAGTGCAGCTACAGTAGATGCATCTTGCCATTGTAAATATGTGTGTGTGGGGGGGGAAAGCTCCTTTTTATGCTCCAATATCATAGCCTTTCTAAATAAATGAAAAATCACAGTGGGGGACAGACTTGGTGGGCCAGATTTAATAGTAGATTAAACACATTGAGGCCTTTATAAAATGGGCATGTGCGCCAATATGCCAATTAAGGTATTTGCAACTATGGCATAGTAACAATAGTGAAATATAGTGCAGTGGCATGATGCAAATGGCATATGACTGCAGTGTCTGTGTCTGACCCTCGACTTATTGGAATCCAAAGGTAAATCTGAATCCCCTCTCACACATCTCTACAGGAAATACGTGCATTTGTGAAATATTTTAGAGACACTGTTCACAAGAAAAGGAAAGGGATTTCACCAAACAATTAAGCTGTAATGCTTCGTTTAAGATCCAGGTGGAACTTCCTCCCTTGTGTTTTAATGTCCCTAAAAACTCCGTCCTTCTGCCGCAGACACAGGAAGGACGAGCTGGAGAGGCGCATGTCGGCCCTGCAGGAGAGCAGACGGGAGCTGATGGTGCAGCTGGAGGGACTCATGAGGCTGCTGAAGGTGAGACGATCACCTGTTTCTAGAAGGCTGCTGATATCCTAGGATGGTGCATAAACACTGAGCCACTGGCCTTCATTAAAATAGCATTTTAAAAGGTTTTTGTCTCTGCTAATCAAGTTGACATGATTCGGTTTTAAAGCTTTGGTGGCGTGTTTGATTAAATGAGATGTTGACATGTTTGATTCTTTAAAAACCAAAGACAATGCGTCGTATGGTGCATGCAGAAAACCCTTTCTTCTTCTTCTTCTTCTGCCGCTGCTTTAATTCTGTTGCTCTCACTCTTCTTGCTCTCTCTGACTGCTTACCTGTGCTGGCTGATAGGATGAGGAGCAGAAGCAGGCTGTAAGTTGCCTTTGATTCAGTTTGCAAGGCTACAATACCTGGCTCTTGTCTCAGCACTTAGTTTAATGCTACTATACTCCTCCGTCACACAGATGTGATTGAAGGAAGTTTTTATAAGAGGTTTTAGGAAGGAAGATAATAGGATTCCACTATCTAACTGGGTTACAGTGATCTAGTCCTCTTATCCAGGCTAATCCACCAGCACCATTGTGGAGCAAAAAAAAAAGACTGCAACATAGTCTTTAAAATGTTTTCTCAAGTCCTTAGTCCAAACAAGGTGAGAGAACTGTGTGTTTTTTTTAAGGCCAAATATCAGGGACCTGTTCCTTTCATCTGCACTAACAACCTCCCTTCTAATGTGACTGCAGTCTGGCCGGCCATCTGCTGCTTGGCTCCGAGCCCTCGACCTGGGGCTGCACCAGTCCCAGAGAAACACAGTGATCCTTTCTCTGAGACATACAGCTCTCATCTCAGCACAGGCCCAGTCGCTCTCCCACACATTGTTCTCATTAACCCCTCACTGCAGTAGAGGTGCACTACAGACACACAGGGTATATAGCCAGCCAGTGTAGGGATTCCCAGACGGTTTTCTTGCCTTTAAACCATTGTTTTTGTCTGTTCTCCCTTAAAGGATTAAGTTCTTTTGGTCACATCTGTGTCTGTGTTTTAATAAAAGTCACTTTTAGAAGCAAAAAGGTCATCTCTTCCCAAAGAGCTGCAATCTGTGACTGCAGTACGGCGTCTTCCATAGAAAAACCAGTCGTTCCAGAATTGGCTTTGTTGATTTAGAGATTAATCGGATTTATCTCGATCAGAAGCCCAGATCCACTAAAAGCTCGCAGATGGACGACTATCCAGTATGTCATGAAAATAACCAAACATGCCATGTTATTGGCCAACAACGCACCAGCAGAAAGATGCCTCGGGACATTTGTTAGCTCGTCTTTTTGCACCTCAAAAACATTTTAAAAAACGTGTACATCTCATTCCTTTGGTGATAAATATATAGTTGCTGATGCAAATCAACTCAAAACATGTTTCAACAACAACTTATTGTGAGACCTTTTAAAAGGTCATGTTGTTCTTGTGTATTATGGGATGAATAACCTTGGGAATAAAGGAATAGTTGGACATTTTGGGAAATGTATTTCTTGCAGAGAGAGACCAGACTGTACCGTAAATGTGACGCTATGCCGGTTAGCATAGCTTAGCGTAAAGACTGGAAACAGGGGGAAACAGCTAGCCTGGCTCCGTCCAAAGGTAACAAAATCTGCACACCACCTCTAAAGCTCACTAGTTTTCACGTTACATCTCTTTCTTAAATCCGTAAAAAACAAAAGTGTAAAAAACAAAAACTGTGGTTCCATATCGACACAAAGGTGCAAAATCAATCTTCTGATGTAACGTTCGACATGAAAGCAAATGAGCATTTTCCCCAAAATGTCAAACGATTGCATACAGTACAGCAAATACCTAATTCTAAAATGTTTAGCTGATGATACTGTAACTATCATGGGTGTTTTTATGTTGCAGTCCCAGTCTGGATGCTCCCCTCATTCCTCCCCAAGTCACGGGGCGGGCTGCTCCATGCCCATGCCCATACGCTCCACCTCGGCCGGGTCCACCCCAACCCACACACCGCAGGACTGCCTGGCAGGGGTGGGAGGGGACGTGCTCGATGCCTTCGCTCAGGGTGAGTGTGCACCAACACCCGAAACAAAGGGCGTACATTAAAAAGCACAACCTATAAAATAGTTATTATGATATGCAGAAAAAATGATATTTTGCAGAACTATTTACACTCTCACATGATTATACTGCAAGAGTAGAAACTGCATGTGTTGATATTTTGATTTGAAAATGTTTCTTTTTTTCTAGGTGTACCTAGAAATCTTCGGAATGATCTATTAGTTGCTGCTGACTCAATCACAAACACCATGTCGTCACTGGTGAAAGAGCTCCACTCAGGTTAGTCCGTACCATCTATTCCCGACCACCGGGCCTCAGAGTGGCATCGCACATGTTTACAGCCCAATTTGTGTTTTCTACTTTTTTGGCATGTGGTTCTTTTTCTCATTTATTTGGGAAGGTGGTCCTCAGAAATCTTTTAATGTTCAGAAGTAGGTTTCAGTTTCATGTTTTGAGTCTGTTTCATCATCTGGATTATGAATCCACCGAGGATATCTTACTCCGTGTGTTTGTCGTTTTCACACCTTCTCCTGATATGTTTCCCTCTATGTCTGAGTTTTTACATAGTGACCAAAAACATTGTCACTGAAATCTCAGGTTTTGTTTTTACAGTTGATGAAGTGGGAGTGGAAGAGGAGACCAACATGAGGAACGGTGGGGACAGAGGTAAGTCTCTCAGAGACAGTTTTATTATAAAGTCATACTAAAGTATACCACTCAAAAACAGAATTATTTGTGTTCATCATAAAAATAAGCCAAGACATAAACAGTATTTCCTTCCATTTTTTCAGCTGAAGCAGAATGAAAAACAGAAAGTAGGATTTATAATTAATTTATATTATAGTATGCATATATAACGTGGTATAGTAGTTGAGAATCACTGTGGTGGTAATCATTTTATTAAAATCAGAAGTTACTTATCCTGTTATTATATGAAAATAGTTTTCTACTGATGATGGGTTAATTATCGAGAAATCAAGCGGTTATTTTCCCTCGTTAACAGAATATATATCTTCTTTTAAAAGAAAATTAAAAAACATTTTAAATTGTTAATTATCACATTATCTCAAAAAAACAGTTTTGTTGAGATAACGAGATAATTAACCCGCCATCTCGAGAAAACAACAATGTATCTTGGGAAACAACAGCTAGTTTTGTCAAGATAATTAACCCACTGACATTGTGAGATTAGGGGATAATTAACCTATGATCTCAAGATAATTAAACTAATGCAACCCCGACCGTTGTTGGCTTCCGTATATAATATTTTTATAGGAACAAGTTGCCAGACATACATTTATTTTCTGCAACTGGCTAACAAGTAGTTGGTGCTTTATCCACCAATAAAATACTTACAACCCTCCATCCAACGTAGCAGGGCACCATGGCACAGTGCCACACAGTCATTTATACTTTTTTTTTTTACAAATTAATTCAGACTTTGCAGGCTGTCAGCAGCTCTAAATATGCTCTTGTGTGTGTGTGTGTGTGTGTGTGTGTGTGTCCAGGCACATTGAGAGTACAGAAGCACTGAGGACAAGCTGACACCATTCCACCCTGTAAGGACATTCAGTCATCAACTGGAGAGAACAACAACAACAACAACAACCCCCGGCATTAGCACGTAGAGTAATGCATGCTGTAATCTAACAGGATTTCACTATGTGAAAAAAAAACAAAAAAAAAAACACATCTCTTCACACCTTGCAGGTAGCAAGATGTGTCTAACTAGCGAGTGTGTGTGTTGTCCTGTAAACAAAATCTGTAATTAATTAATGAGTTCCCTCATGACTGCTAAGGAATGGCTTGCTGTGCTTTCTCCCCCAACTGTTCCATTGCAGCAGATCATTGTGTATGTAGAATACTGTAAACACATGACCACGGAAACGCCCCCAAAATCAAGCTGACAACATGTTCCCTGTTAGTGACTTTGTATGACTGGCGCTAGTATTTTCCTTTTGTTTTATTTATTTATTTTTGAATCATTTTTGCATGAAGTTGCACTCATGGATTTTTAGGTACTGCACCATGCTATGCCAGCTCTCTGTGGGTTCATGATGACAGCTGGAGTGTCAGAATGTGTCTCGTCTCAGAATTCCCGCCGAGTGTGTTTACGTTCACATTCTGAAGTTTTTTAAAAGTAGAATTCTGGATATGCTCCAGTTTCAGTTAATAATAGTTTGACATTTTGGGAAAAACACATATTCTACTTGCTGAGAGTAAGATGAGATCAATACCATTCTCATATTTATGTTACGCTGGACCCTGAAAATGGTTAGCTTAGCTTAGCATAAAGACTGGAGACAGCTAGCCTGGCTCAGTCGTAACGTAAAAGTGACTTCTTTGAGCCTTGCCGTCACTGTTGTCAGATAACCAGCTGAGACGACAGGAAGTCACAGCGCTCGGCTTGTTTGCTGCCGAACAGAGACTTAAATGATAACTGTATGCTAAATATGAACCACCAGCAGCCATATAGCTTAGCTTAGCATAAGGACTGGAAACATGAGAAACACTTAGCTTTGCTGTCTAAAAGGGGAAAAATACACCTACCAGCTCTTCTAAAGCTCACTAATAACATTTTATATCTTAGTTTATTGAGGGAGACAGTTGTGTTTCCATGCTAATATCATTTTTATGAATATGTGCAGGAATATCTGTTGTTATAGTAGGAAGACGCACATAAACAAAGTATCCCTGATCAGACGGTAAACAAGAATGATAGCTGGCATCCAGAATACTGCGTGCATGTAGACACACACACACACACACACACACTGAGTCACATACTGTGCTGCTGCTACTGCGCTCTCAGTGAGCCACCCTTACAAATACGAGGGCTGTGCGATTAAGCGAAACCAAGGGGCTACTACAAACACAGAAATGAGCCTCATCGTTTCCTTCCCCCGTGAAAACTTAACTGAACACACCCGACTAGCTGGCGGCCTCCGTATTTAATTGTCTCAAGTGTAGGGAAGCACCTCAGGATGTCTAAATAGTGATGAACTATGCGTTGAGTTGTAAGTTACAAAATGAACACTTGTACAGTATGTGGGGATGTGAGGTCATAGTGAGCAAGTAGGAAATGCTTTGATAGCTTTATTTAGTTAATAAAGGAATATTGAAAATGATTATGTGCAATGAAGGTATAGGTGCTCAGGGACTGCAGAGCTACTCTAGAGGCAATATGGTGGTAATGGCTTCAGACTGAGAGGTTAAAGGTCAATGACGATTCAAAATGGAGGGGTTTTATTCCAAAACAGATACAACTTGCCTGTGATACCTGTCGTGAGATTTAGTTGAAACTTCCTGAAGTAGTACATTTCACTCTCATATCACCAGTCAATTTGTCTAATTTTTGGAATGAAACACTTTCATGAATAGAGGAAAACAACAGCAAGTGACTAAACGCTGGGTACAGAATGTGGAGTATTGGAAGGAGAGACGTTTTTCTGAAGTGCTATTTTGGTGAAGCATGTTGTTGGATATAGTTTGTCTGTGTATGTGTGAATTTGTGTCTTTCACGGAAAAGGCAAGCGTGCAGTCCATCACAGAGGTAGCCGTCAACCAGAGAGGATGTTCATTTTAAATCAGGTCTAAGTTACCTTTTACATTTCTGTCTTCTGGTTCAATGCTTGGTTTTTAGTCAATGCAATGTGATGAAGGTCTGGGAGCAGTTTTATAGTCATATATTCAGCTCTCAAAGGAAGTAAAATCGGACTGAATCGAACTGAAAATCATGATGTTTTTGTTTTGAGATCTCTACAGTAAGCCGATCCTACAATATAAGCTGAGTTTACGGTTTCAACAACCTGTTACACTGCGTCAAGAAAAAGAACAAAAAGAGGCTCCTCTTCTGTCGACATTTTAAATGTGATGTTTTTGTTCAGTTCTCCGGTCTGCTCTTTGTTATTATTGTTTAGTATTAGTGGAGTACAAGTCAATGTAATGAGAATCACATGCACACTCGCGCTTGCATAGTCGCCAGAATATAAATGAACACGAGGAAGGTGTAAAAGTTGAAGTACTGTCATATTAAACTTCTGCTGTCAACATGTTCAGCTCATTCAGCGGAAAAGGTCCAGATCTAAACTTAAAGAGTCACTGTCTTCCCCTTCATTCTAGCCAAGCATTTGAACTCTAAAGTTTGTTTCCATTCTTTCAGTTTGTGCCTGTAGCTGTTCTGTAAAGTGCTGTACAAAGTAACCATTCAGCAAATAAGATGATCCATCAGCCTTTATGTCCGTGGCTTTGTAGAAGTTATTTATTTATTTAATGTGTTCTGGGGGAAAACTCATGCTCAGCCTTTACATTTGTGCCAAACTGTTTGCAGACATTGTGTGTCACACAGCAGGTATATATCAAAGTATATCTGCATTAGTCTGTTGTTGTTGCCCATAGTTTATTCACAGAATGCCTGGAGACGTTAATGGTTTAAAAAACATTTAAGTGTTATTAAAGACAGACACATTCCAAATTTACTGATTGACTCACTGATGTCATTATAGCCAATGTGGAGGCAATACTGTACACACCCTGTGAGAACAGCCCGGGGTAACACCAATAAAACACAGCCCGTCATACCGAGGTGCACACTTTGTGATCCTTCGATTGTTTGCAGAGAGAGACGGTGTGCAAAAAGGACGACCTCGCCGACAAACGCTCCCCTGATGTTATTTATCTGCGTATGTGTTCTGTGCGGTTACGCTTCTGGTACACATTTGTTTCTCATGTTGATTTTACAAAACACTTTATGTCACAAAGCCACTGTCTTTTGTAAATAAATCAAATGTGAGATATATTAAAAAGATTTAAAATATGGCTTTGACTGGTCGTGTCGTGATTGTTGGTGTGGTTTTGATTCTCCATCACTAAAGGTCCCTCTCACCAAACATACCTCATTTATCAGTGTTGGAAAACAACAAAGTATCATTTTGAGGTTCTTTTACTTTATATGAGCCTTTTCTTAACTTGCACTTTTTACCTATTACATGACGGCTGGAATTACTAGTTACTTAAGGAATTTAATTTTTCTGCAAATCAAGTGATCATTTCGTAAAAAAGAAGAGATTGTCACATACTAAACTACAGAATAGTATATATATATATAACATATACAAATAAATTGTGTTGCGTTTTTATCCATTAAATTAGTATATAAGGTAGCAACATTCTGCTGCACAATAAATACTTTTAACAGCGTAAGAATATGTTGCTGATCATTTGTCTCTACTTTTACTTGTAAAAAGAGTACTTCTACATTGTTGCATTGATACTTTTACTTAAATAACTGAGTACTTCTTCCACCACCGAGGTATTGTTGGTTCCTCTGTCACCCTTTTTGTGGTCATTGTCTGGACAGATTTGTAGAAATAAATGTTTGCCCTGGTCAGTCGGTGAGCTTGTCTGTAGCTGATGAAGACCTCGGCTGAATCTCTTTCTTATAAATGCACTCAGAGTCCAGTGAAAGCTGTTTGTTTCTCATGAACATTGAGGTAAATTGAGGTAAATAAATGTCTCTTGTCTAACTTATCCGCGTCAGACAAAAAAACAACGGCCTTTCCTGCTTCACCTACAAACCTAAATCAAAAACTGTCCTATTTCGATAATGAGAAGAACTATACAGGTGAGACGAGGGTGAGACAGAGTTTCCACCAGCACACATGTAGGTCATGTGGCGTCGTCTTGCTGCTGCTGAGGCTGCTGTCCTCAGATGAACCACTCAGTGCCATTGAAAGAGGAGACACCGCTGCTTCCAGATCAGTGAACCACATCCGCCTGCTGCTCACACATTTCCCCTCTCTCTCTGTCTCTCTCTCCCTCTCTCATCTGCCTCACTGCGAGCTGTTCTATGAGCCTTTAGCCTTCCTGCACCTGCAGCAGATAACCTCACTGTGTCTCCGACTAGTGGCCGTGTACGGTACCAAGTGTTGGTTGCAGCGGCAGGCTGCTGCAGAGTTAATGGAATGAATGTGATAAGAGATTTGATATCTTGTTCAAGCTGCACTCTAGGAAATGAAATAAAGATGTGCAAGATGAAGATCCTGCTCAGAGGGGAAAATCTATACGAGCGACATGCTTTTACATCCGTTTTGATATACAGATTTATTAATGGTAACGCGGTTTTACCCTTAAACAGAATCTCAGAACAATAGTGAAGTATATGGAGGAATACGCAAATTTGAATCACAAAGATATGTCAAAAGTGTAAAAATGGAAAATGTAGAAGGATAGGAGACAATGTGGTGTAATAGTCGAGGTTTGTGCAACGGAATGTGCAGAGTATGCAAATGCAACCACGTATACATAAAGCACTTAAACTCACTGTACTCTATGTGTACTCAAACATCTGTACTCATAAGTACATAAACTGAGTATGTACACGGCAAGCGTGTACTGTTAGTGTGAGTATGTGTGGAGGAGCTTGCGTCGATGTCGAGGAGTGAATATGCATAACTGTAGAAAGCACGTTTCGCTTCACTAGGCCTCTAAGCTGGCCCGAGGCAGCAGCTAATTACACGGCTGCTCGGGGCCCCGCAGCCACCAGGGGGCCCATAGATGCAGACAAATTAAAAATGGAGAAGTTTCCTCAGGTTCCTGTGTTCATTTTGTCAACATTTGTAAGAAATGACTTGATGTGTTGTACTTGTATGTGGTACTGAACACATTGTTTAACCCTTTCAGTGTTTCTAATTGTAGTAGATTGTATTCTGGTTATTACATGTTCACATATGCACCATGCAAAGATCATCTTCATCAAGTTTAATGTACACCTCATTTCAAATGCCACATGTGATAGCTTCCAATGTAATATGACAATATAATGGTAAAAATGTACAGTTCCCTCTTATATTTTCACACAGGTGACGTGGACTGTTGCGACCATGAGGGGGGGGGTTACTATATTCCTTATAGTGCCATGGGCCAAACAGGCCGGGGCCGGTGCTCCTTTTTCCTCTACATTGGCACCTTAGCAGTAAAATCAACATAGACCACATCTCTCTAAGGGGAAGTGGTAGTTACGAGAAAAGGCTCTAGTGTTTATTTTTGCCCTGAGGCCACATCAGAGGAGCCAGAGTTGCACTTGGGGTGCTGCTGGGCAACTCAAAAGTCTCTCAGGTGTAACCTTAGTTCAAACAGTAGGCATGGAAGTGTTCCAGTTGGGCACTAATGATTAAACCTTTCATTTAAAATGTTGAGGCAACCCTGTGAACTAAGGGTGATCAATATATGTTTGTTGTCATTTATTGTTTCATCCTCGGTTTAATGTATCTTTCACCGGACTCCCAAAATACAAAATAAAAAAGATAAATACGTTTTTTTTCATGCCGTGTTTTCCAAATGTTACTTTAAAATAGATGTTTGTATTAGGGGAGTTGGGGTGCATTATAGTGACTTGTTTGTCTCAGACCCTCTGCACACTGTGGTGAGTCGGCAGTCTTTAGGACCCTGTGGCAGCCGGCAGACCGTCTGCAGGCCCCTGCAGTGAGAGCGGTGCATCTCGAGGAGAGCTGGCCGGCTGGGGAGGTGGAGGACGGGGAGAGAAGAGGAAGGAGGCTCCGGGAGCAAGCGAGACAAAAAAGGTCAGGCCTGGGACTCGGGGAAAAAAAAAAAAAATCGGGTTACCGATCACACAGCGATTCACGCATTTTAATCCGTTTTAACCCGGCACTGCTAACCGCGCAGGAAGAGTAACCTTCATGTGAAACAAAAAAAAACGTGAGAGCCCCGAGAGCGGAAGGCGCTCGAAGGAAACGGGGAAATAAGCTATTTAGGGGTTTTGCTTTTTGCAGATGTGCTGATTGGACATCGCGACGTGCACTTGACCTAATTTACAGCACGGAACCGGATCCGCCGCTCCTGATAACACTGGCATCATTAATAAGAATAGAGAATAACGGGGATGTGTACTTGGAGCGGCCGTGGCCTGTATAAGAGCCCCAGTCCCCTGGGTCATACTGCATACTTCCCCGTGCTGTTAAGACCTCTGAAACTTTGAGATTTTAACGCATAAGCCTAATTGAATGATACACGCAAGTCAGCCGGTCGCAGTGATGTCAGCGTATGGCCTTGTGGTGGCTTCATGTGCGTGGAAATGCGGTGACATTAAACGCCTGTGTGGCCCAATAATGCATTATTTTCTGTTTTTTGCATGAGATTATTTTTCAGGAGCAAATCAGCCTGTTAGACCTTTATTAATCAGAACCGGCTGTCATTAATATTGACGTAACCCGAAAAGGAAATGAAACACATCCCAGGTCTATATGGATGAACATATAGGATATTTTATTTTTTTTGCACATTTTCACGAGTCTTACTGTGTGCGCATGGCTGACTGCTGTAGTGTAACTTTAACCACTTTAGGTGAGATGAGACATCATGAAAACAAGAGAATCATCCTGGATTTATTTTTGCAGCTTTATTCAGGCAATGTCGACTACTGTACACCCGTGTGGTGTGAAAGGCCCTATAGGTGGTAGGAGCCATACAGTACCCTATAGAGGCCTGTGAGGTTCCTACACGTGACGTGCACTCGGCAAAAGAAAGCTGAGGCTAAAAAAAACAAAACACTTTATGACAGATGTAAATTTAACCAAACTGCTTTGAGGAAACGTGCACAAAATGTGTCACAGCAGCATGACGCTCACCTGTGAGTGAAAGCATCACAACAATCATTCTAAATAAAGTGCATCTAATGAACATGTTGACCTTTTCCTTCTTTACCTTCCAGGAGAGCGGAGAGAAGAGGGATCATCTCATTTCTTTTTTTTTTTTTTTTTTTTTTTTTTTTTTTTTGTTTTTTTTTCCCCCCCCCTCCACACCCCCCCCCCCCCCCCCCCCCATTATCACGTATCACCCATAAGAGACTGAGACTGTCGACGATGCCGTCCAACACTGTCACCAACACCAACACCACTGCGTTCAAAGGCTCAGACTACGCGGACTCACCTGGAAACAGAATGGTAAGAAGCGCGTGTTGAACATAAAAGTGTGCCTCAGAGACTCGGTGTGTTGCTAAATGGCCCGGGGTCTCTCCACTTCATAGCTCGGGGCTTCATAGAGTTCATTTGGTCGCGTTTTGGCTTTTTGAATGACTCGAGCTAAGCTGTTGATTAATATTGGATTTGAGTCTCCATCTGTGGAAAATGCAATTTTTTTGAAAGCTCTCAATCGCACCAGATTTAAAAGGAGATTAGTTTCTCCTGGTTTTATCCGGCAAAGTACCGTGTGCCTTTTAATATTTCCCTAAAATATCTTTAACACGTATGCATGCGTTTGGTAAAGTACAGTTTGTTAATGTTTTTACTTTGATATTACATTGATGGTGGTTTGTACGGTCACTTCAGGTCAAAGCCCCTCATAACATCCCCCAATTTTATGAATGGTGTTAATTGATCTGTCCAGCTGATTGATGCCATTTGATGTTAAGAGTCGCATCAATTCCTCCTTGTTCATCAAAGAAAAAGTCAGAAGAATCCAACAGTATGTGAAGTGCCACGTCACCTTCCATGCTGCAGACGGGCTCGTCGCTAGAGTCACTGATGCTCCCGGGAGGCAGCGGCATCACTGAGGAGGCTGTGGAGAGATGCCGCTGTATTATGTGACATTCGCTGTTGTAATGGTGGTTGGTGGTGACGTGGGCGTTGGCTGGTGTAGGTTGAGCTGGAGGGGTGTGTGTGTGTGTGGGGGGGGGGGGGGGGATCTGTCCTCTTCCACTACGTTCCCATTACACAGTACTGCCCTTAGTCTTGTTGCCTGGCAACAGACATTGCCTTAAATAACTGGCAGACGGGAAAAAAAAGTGCAGAGATATTGACGATGTGGTAGGGTTCACTCGAGGCAACAACAAATCATATTTCAGGCTTTTCCGGAGGTTTTTTTGTTTGTTTCTCCAGTAAACGTTGGGGTGAAGCTGTGTGTGAAGATGGCGTTCTTGTTTCCGTTCAGTGTGTCTGAGCTCTCGGTTTGGTGTTTGTAGGCTGTTCCTGCAGCGCCAGCAAAGCACCATTGAATTGTGTCGTCCATGTAAGTGGTTCCCAAATGAGCCGGCACACCCGGCAGCATTCAAAACGTGCTATTATCTATGCAAATTCTGCCGGGGGGGGAATGAAGCACCAGGCTCTCTGCTAATAATGAACCGGCAAAACACATCCTCTCAGAGAAGCATCAATATCTACATTTAAAATCACCGTTCAAAGGCTCAGCGGTATTTTTTGCGATCATTTTTCCAGCAACATTTATCAATTATAACGGCGTGCCCATTAATCACAGCGTCAGCTGCTCTGATCACATCCATCTCTTTATGCAAATCACTTTATCACCCTGGGACACGAGGAGTTGATGGATTTATTCCATTTCAGCAGCGAACACTCTCAGGACGTAACATGGCCTGACCTGTGTTTATTAAAGTCCTCCATCTTTTAAGTTATTTAGGAAGTAGAGTCTGTAACTGCGAGCTTCAGTCCAGTTTTTTTAAGAATGATTTTATGTTATTTTTGCCTTTACTGGATAATTGATGGGAAAAACAAAAAAAAGAGCAGAGAGAGAAGATGATGAGATGTCATAAAGGTCCGTGGCCGGTGTTACAACGCATACTGTGACCCGTCAGATTGTGTGACCTGATCAAGAATTTATGTTTTTGTATTTTCGGCATGTCAAAATATGTATTTTCAGCCAAAAACGGCGACTCTAGTAGTTAAGTTATTTTTTTGTGCAAACACAAGTGACAAACCCACATGAACAGACTTCTTGCATATAACAATACATAGGACACATGGATGTTTCCGTCTTCTGTCCCTAATGCTATAGTGAGTATTTAGATATGCCGGGTGTATCTGTCGGGTCACAGAATTCAGTGCGACACCAGAATCTCACATTTTTCGGCGCAATTTACAGACTTTTCATCCATGGAAACAGCAGTTGGGGAAAAACAAACGTCCACTCAAGCCCCATTTAGTAGGTTTTCATCATATCACATGATCTTCATGAGCAGATGGAGTTTGCCAAACGCTTTAAATCTTAAATGAACAATAGAAGTCCTGAAAGTGCTCAATCTAACATCTACCGTTCTAAAAAAACAGAGCAAACTACCTGCGGATGAAGACCATGTGATAAGATTTAACACTCTTGAGTGGCTACGAAATGGACCTTGTGTTCTCGACTGTTTTCAAGGTTTGATGGTCAATTTAAATATAGTTTTTAGATGTTTAGGCGCGAAACATATGTCTAAAATACACCACTCGTTGCTCCGTGGCCTGGAAAGTGCAACTTGTTTCCAGGTCCACAGTGCATAAGATTACAATAAAAGCACCTAACAAATCAGCAGAGGAGCTCTGCAGAATGCCTCATTTATCTTTGAGGGAATCTCACATTCAACACTGAAGGAATTTAATAAGGCCCGCCCCCCCCCGCAGCTGTCAGGAGTGGCCTTGCAATCTCATTTGCATTCAGACCTGGTGCTGGTGGTCCTATTCAGTCAATATTGAAACTCAAAGCATCTACATTAGGATCATCTTTTCTCCCATAAACTCCTGGGGCACTTGGTGGTGGCGAACACGGGGCTTTGTTCACAGTTTTATTAATCAAAGGGAAATTACAGCAGTGGGAAGGTGGAAGGTCTTTGTAATGGTGTCAAGAGGGGATTGTCTGCGGAAGGTCAGCGCTGCGTCCGTGGAGCTTTCACTTCAGCCTAGTTCAAAGGAACGAGCCATTCACTTTCTATCCGGCTCATTGTCCACTCAGCCAAAAGACACTCAAGGAGCCGCTGCAGTCCCCCGCCAAATGTTCAAGTGTTTCAGTGTGGTGCAGTCTTCTGAGTGTCGTGCAGGTCTAGTGTCACTCCTGCTGCACCTCTGGCTGAGGTGAACCCACCACTTAGCGTACTGCATGCAGTCTTTCAAAACCTGGAAAGGTGCTTATGTGCATCCAGGCCTGACATGTAAACGAGACATTCCCATAGATAACGGCACTGTTACCTATGGGTAAGTATCGTCTACCGGGTCTAAATGTTGATGTGTTGTTCTTTGTGTTGACAGGGTGAAAGCACAATACTGGACATGGACCTGATGAAGGAGGAGAAGTCGGCTAAAAGTAGTGCCTCTTGTAAAGTTGGCAAGCCTGGAAGAAAGCGCAAGCAGTTCCCAGTGAGTGTTGATCCGACATGATTTTACTACTACATCCATCCACGCATACTTGTTTTACAAGTGGTCAGTTTTCTGGTATATTAGCTAAATAGGAAATAAAATGGCACATTTGTTTCATTGAGTTTGCTCACTAGTGCTTTTTGTGAAGTAATTCCAAAACTGTCTATGAATAGGAAGCGAGTCGATGCCTTTTAAGGAATTTCCATCCCTTTAAGAATTCCTTTAGCTGCGGTCACAGTGAAGAGTTTGTGTGTCCCATGCTGGTCTTAATGGGTTTAGGCTGGCTTATCCTTGATAAATTCATACGTTTCATTCATTAAGTCACATCTTAAGACAGCTGTTCCAAATATCCACACTTGTGGGGTGAAAGTCCTGCTGCTATGGAGAAGGGCAAGACGCTAATAATCTTCTAAATATGGGGATAAGTGCACATATTTTCAGACCGTCTTGGCTAAAAAAGTATTCACATGAAAAGCAACAAAACAGCTAACCCAACCACTGCAAGGAGTGGGTGTGAATGAATGTCGGATTGGAGGAATGATTGGACACGGGAGGTTGTTTCAGATGCTGTTGGAACAACCGATGAGTAACGGTAGTATCCTTCAAACAGAGTGCTTGTTGGAGCAGCTCTAGAAACCCCCGCCCGCCTAGTGATTCAAAAGTGGAAACAGGGTTCTCCCACTCACACACCTTTCCAACAAAAATTGCGTGGGCATCGTTTGGAACTTTTCGTAACAGACAGTCAAAACATCGACACCCTCTTCGTGCAGCGAGTGGATGCCTTTGAGGGGAAAATGTCCCAAAGTGTACGCCGTTATCACGATTGGAACAATTTACTTCTCACCACTGCAGTATAAACGTATTTGGCCTGTGACACGTCATGTGAACTAGCTTGTTCCAAGCAAGTGTGACAGACATGGTTTAATGACTCTGGGGCCAACGTGTATCTGGGTAAATCATGTTAATTAATTCTCACAGTGTGATTCAACAAAAGCAATTTTCAGATCGTGTATGTTAGGGAGGAATGAGTATTTGAAGAGTGGTGCTCCCAGTTATAGATAAAGAAAATCTACACTCAGAATCAGGGCGTCTCGGCAAGTGTTTTCACAGCTGTGGGGGATTGACCACATGTGCCAGACGCTTCAGTCACAGAGGTGTGTTGTTGTTGATGTCAGTCTTCTCTAAGTGAAGGTACTTGAAAACGTACTATGCTGTCTAAAGGGCAGTTTGAATCCTGAAGATACTCGTGGATTAAATGTTGCATTTCTTTCTCTTTGTGCTGATTATTAAATGTCAGGTAAAGCTGGTGAATTAATGGTGATATGTCACAAGCCTCACGCCTTTTTTTCACATTAAGGACACAAGAAAACATGGACGAGGTCACATTAGGTATTATTATTAGTTATATTACCTGACCTTGCTGCTCTTTACTATTACGGTTATAGGCTGTGACATTTAGCACCTTCAGCTAATGTGTTGCGCAGCTGGTGTTTGGCATGTTTCAGCATTAAATCTGCACTTCATACATAATTGCTGATCAATAAGTAAATATATTTAAATATGTACAGATAAAACCTGTTTCAGGGCAGGGAATGACATGACACAAGTGCATCTGCTTCTTTCTTTATGTGATGAATCTTTTGCCACCTTTCATTACAGTGCAACCAAATAGTCGAGTGAAATCATAAAATGAGAAATGTCATCAGAAACTATAGCAACCTGCCAGCAGTCTCACAGATATACATGTACATTTGCTATTTCAACAATTGTTTCATTCATCTTTTTTGTCTTCACCAATGACCAGAGAGACGCTAAAATGTCCCCTAGAGCAGGAGGGGAACTGCACAGTTGGATGATATGATCTGTGGGTTTGTCTTTCACATTGTACTCACTATTATAGTCACTGATCCATTGTTAATACAACAGTATGGATTAGTGCAGCTTTAACAGCTTATTAAACACACCGTGCGTTGAACTCACTGTGTGTGAGCTGTGATGCTGCAGCAGTAACATAGATTAGGTAGCCAGTGTTTTATTTTGACCTCTTGTCTGAGCGGCCCGATTCACTGACTGTGACCTCTGACCTCTGGCAGGGGCCACATGTAGTTCACTGGGTCACTAATCTGTTGCGTAATTCTTTTAGCAGCAGTTGTGTGTGTACTCTTTGTGTCTGTTTGCCGAAGCCCCCCCCCCCCCCACACACACACTCCAAACTATTTATTTTCCCAGTTATGAATCGAGTCGAATATTAACGGTGGATTTGTTGTTTTCATTCATCGTTATTTCTCGGTTGCTGCAACGATGAAGTCATTTAGAGCCGTGCAGCCTGCGAGGAATGCTTAAAAAAACAAACTTTGTCTTGATGATGTAGCTTTGTTTTACAATACAGTTCGGCTTCCACTTCAATGTGCATTGGGATTTATTACACAGACGCTTTATAGCTCTCTGGGTCACAGTAGAGCTGGCTTTAAATTGTGTTTTCTTACTCAATCTGCACGAATGAGATTACATTTGCCCTTTCAGCTTCAAGCACAGGATCTTCGTGTTTGTTAAAGATCATCTGCCTCAATGCAGACTGCTGTAGCTACATCTACAGGAGATGAAAGCTGCAGCGCTGCTCTCATCAGTGTTAACAGCCTGATCTCACAAGAGATGCTCCACTTTCTGCCCCCAGTAACCCAGTAATGGGACTGTGAGAAAGTGTGTTTTTATGGCTAATTTTAGGCAGGAGCAGACACCGTCACATTTCTTCAAACTTCAAACAAATCTGTTCTAGGTCTTCCCAAGACAGTTGCTCCTGTCTTTTATGTTCAGTAAGAACTGAATATATCTGCCATTGTAACTTAAAACCGCAGCTTTAGACCGGCTAGCTTCTCTTTGAATGTGCTCCTCTGCGTAGAATGAAATAGTTTCACTGGGCGTTTCAAAGTGGACGGAGTGAAAACCCTCTTTGTTGTCAAACAGCCAACATTCTTGACATATTTCCGTGCTGCTGTAATGCGCGACCATAGGAAGCTCGGTGGTGCACCTGATGAACTCTAATGTAATCCCTCCCTCACTTGCAAGTTAATAACTGTGCAGCAGATTTACCGGCACAGCTTTGAAGTTTACAACTCTAGTTTAACAGAGCTGAAAGGGAAATGTCATAATTCACCGGCTAATAACTCTCGACGTTGCGCTGCATGTTTGATTCTGTCCAGATAGAGCCGAGAGGGTTTAAGGGATGAAATTAAGCTGAACTAATATGAAATAGATGAATGCTTTAATTCATATTTCATTTCAAATAGCCCATTTAGCCAACAGAGCCCGAGGAGGGCTTCTCCTCAGTCTGATAGTGCCAGCTGTTTTATTGTTGCTCACTGCGATGACCTTTTCTCAAGCATGCTGGATGATTTGTTGCATTTCCTGAAAGCTTTCGTGTATCCAGTGACACGGCATAACTGCTGACAGGCTCAACACTGTTGTACAACTTCAGAACATCGAATTGTAACATGCTGCTACAGCAATAACAACCTCTAGAGCTGATAGATTGCCAGGATGTTAACATTTCAACCTCCTCCTTCCCCTGCCTGCAGGTCGAGAGCTGTGGCTCCCTCAAAGGCACTGTGGGTGTGGGCAACAGCTACACCGGAGCGGGTAGGCCGTCCATGGCACAGGTCCACAACGGAGACGTGGGCGGGCACAGAGACAGGACGTCCGACGCCTGCTTCCCCAAACAGGAGAAGAGGGAAGTGGAGAACGGCATCCCCAGAGACCCTTCCTCTTACCGGGTAGAGGACAGCTCTCAGGGTCAGAGCCGAAGCCCGTCCCCGGAGAACAGGTTCCTGCTCAGCCGGGAAGACCAGGACTCGGAGAAAGACAAGGACGACAGCTCGACGACGCCGTGCAAGAAACGAGGGAGGCGGAAACTGGAGCGCCCGACCAAATGTGAGTTTTTTTTTTAGCTTCTGCTCGTTTGGCTCGGCTATCTTTTGATCAGCTCTTTGTGGATCTGGCAGGGGGAAGTCGTGTGCATGTGACTAGTACGTGATGTTGACTGAAGAACTGTAAATGGATGTCAGACTGAGTGGGTCACGGTGAGCATGCCACCGACACTGCCAGGATTAGGAACACCGAGGTTACATGTGTTGCACTCATACTGCTGCAAGGAAGGAAAGTGAAGATTAGTAAATCCTAATCTTTTTGTTTATATCTATACCTATATTAATCTTATTATACCGAATGGTATATACACATGCTATATTTCACTACTTTTGAGTGACTCGGTGTGTCTTACCGACGTGCACAACCAGTTTGAATGTGCAACGTGCACCATTAAATAAGATTTATTTATGACGGAGAAACAGGCAGTTGCAATGAAAAAAGAGAGAAGAATACTAAATGGCTGATCTGTGATATGATGTAGCAAAAAAGAAAAGTGGACCCGACATCTAATTGGCCCTTCGGTTAGCAACCACAGTCTGCTGCTGCTGCTCCGTCAAGCTAGCAGAGCTACCATGTATACCACACTGTCACTAACTGCACTCCCTGAATTCATATAAACAAAAAAGCAATTTCTGGCTTTGTCAGTGTTCGAGGGCGGGGCTTAGCTCAGGGTCAGTTGTGGAGAGCGTTTGAGTTAATCACAATGCGTCGTTTGAAGAGAATAAAATACAACTTAATTTTCCGCAGGAAAGGTGGAAAAATATCAAAACATACACACACACACAACAGCGTAACAGATTACAATTTATTAAAAGTTTCTAATCAGACAAGAACACACAAGTGCATGTTTTGTGCCTTCTGATTGTAACATTACCTGAAACTATTGAAGGAGTGATTCATTATGTGTAGCGTTGAAACAACCAGCTCATTAATTGATTTAGTCTGTTGACAGCAAATCAATCTGCAACTGAAAATATCACCCGAGGGCTTCAGGAGACCATGACGGGAGTTTGTCACTGTTGTGGGGCGCGCTCACGTGCACAAACGTGCTCAAGCATGCACTAAAAGCAAAGAGCGGAGAAGCTCTGATAACAACACACACACACACAGAGGGACTTCAGTCTCTGCTCAGGTAGACTTTACTCCTCTGTCTCTTTACACAGTAAAGAGTTCTTTGTGTAAGTGCTTTGAATATCATATAGAAACATGTTGTGTATGCAGATCATATGAAGCAGACGCGTTCGTTGTCAGGGAACGCTGATAGTAGTAAAAATGTAGCACCTTTGAAAAGGAGACATTACTTGTTCTAATGAAACAAATATATTTCCTGAAATAATTATAACTTCTGAGAATCTAATATTATCAAATTCATTTATTTCATTTTTTTTTTTGTAAAACAACCAGTTCAAATGCAAACTGGTTACATTTTTTTTGGTGTAATTTTAAATTGAGTTTGTTCCTACATAAGTGAATCTGCAGCAGATCACCTGAGCATAGAAAGATATAAATCAGCTGTTGGGAGAGAGAGAGAGGTGCTGAGTTTTTAGACCAAGATGGAGATTAACAATACCACTTAGCTGCCCCTCCACTCTCTGCTTTTAGTCCTCTCTCTCTCTTTGTCTGTCCATCTCTCCCTCTCTGTCCATCTATCTCTCCCTCTCTGTCTGTCTGTCTGTCTCTCGCTCCGTCCGTCCGTCTCCCCTCCCTCTCTCTCTCTCCATCCATCCGTCCATCCGTCCGTCTCTGTCCCCCCCCCCTCTCTCTCTGTCTCTCCCCCCCCGTCCATCCCTCTCTCTCTCCCTCTCAGCCACGTGTCTCTCCTGCTCCTCTCTCTCTCTCTCTCTCCCAGAGACACCGGCTATGACCTTGATGAGGAGTGCAGTAAATAAAGCCGGGGAGGAGCGACCCGTCTCCTGGTAACGGGTCTCTGTTGGGAGCTGGCTGGTCTCTGTTGTGGCCGTCTCCCCGTCGGGGGCCCTGCCAGGTGGATGGCGTCGTGCCCAGAACTCTTTACAAACCGAGACTGCACACTGTATTCACCTGATCTGTGCGTCTAGGATCTGTTACTTCACTTTGAAGCACACATCTAGGATAACCGCGTTAGACCCGAACCAGGTCTGCATCTCTGCTCCCTAATCTGTGCTCAGCTTTAGTAGGACACAGTGATGACAATAATCTTAATCTGCGTAAACATTATATTATGAAGCTTCTCCATATGACATTCAGAGCACTTATATAGCAGCAAACAACTATTTTTCTCTGTAAAGATTTAGTGGAGTAATATCGGAGCACAGAATGAAGTCACTCTCTCTCTCTGTGTGTGTTGTAGTCTCTCCGTTCTTCGTTGACAGAACCGGGCCGGCCGCGTGTGCTTTAAGAGCATGTTCGTGCACCACTGGCTAGCTCATAGCCAACGTAAAACAACCGTTTCATAATCGATTAATCAGCTGAAAAAGTCTGAGAAAATACCAAGCAGAGAGGGTCTAACCTGGTCAAAGAAGCTATAAGTTGCATCATGGGGAGTGGAGAGAACTTCAAGTTTCTACACTACTTGGTGTCTTGGTTTTTTCGGTCTATCCCTTAAAGGTGTCGAGTACTGATGAACGTTTATATGAATATAAATTGTTTTTGATCTCAAAGGAGCTTCAACATGATTATGGCGTTCAAGTTGTCACTTCTTCTTAAAAGGTGTCCATAAAAAGACACAAAATTACACAAGATAATCTGCACCGTCCTCCGTATTTGACCACTTTTAATAAACCCTGTGTAGTAGAAATACGTGGGGAACGATGCGGTTAGCTCCCAGCTAGACTCTCGCTAAGACTCCCGCATGTAGACTAACTCAAGCTCACCCGAGTAGCGGTAAAAAAAAAACAACGCATTCCTTGTAACTCTCACAGATACTCTTCAACAAACCACTATCCTACTGACTGACAGGCTTCACCGCATCGAAGCTTGACCACATGTTTACCGACTCAATTGCAGCAGCAGCTACAATAAACATTTCTTTTATCATTACCTCTCTGACTGAACCCCCTCTAAACACAGTGACACTCGTAAAATAACCCTTAACATGTCACCCAGTTTGTTACAAAATGCTGTTTTCATCATATTGTATCAGGGTCACGCAGGAAGTGTCTTTTACATGCAACAAACAGCCGCCTGCTTAGAATCAACAGAGAGAGGAAGATGTCAGCATTAGCAGTTTCAGCCACAAAGAAGAAAAGATTAAAGGTCTGCGCGGGGTCTGCACGTCCCTCAAGACCTGCAGCAGATGTTAGCGGCATGGTTTTTTTTTTCTTTCAAGGCTGCGGGCGGGCAGTTAAAGTCACGTTGCAAGGTGCGAACTTAGTCCGTAAGATGGATCATTTGTTGTTTGCAAGCTGCACACACATTTGCTTGTTTGGCGTCAGTTTGTGAGTAATATCTGATGCCTGATGAGACACCAAACAACATCTATGGGATCAAAATAATCTGGAGGATTAAGACAATAAAAGGCATAATGTACAGGTTACTGGGGAAGGCTTGGTGCAAAGCATTATGGGAGCAGACTGGAGCAAAAAGTGTCAGGAGGGGGCATGTGAAACAGAAATTTATCATTTAGATTACATCAACAAAAAGTGTCCACAGTATTGCCCAGAGTTTTTAAGTACCAAAAAAACACATGTTCCATCTGCATAACTAAACAGCAACAGTATACATGCAGGGAGATATTAATCCCGTTACTAAACGAGTTTAAAAAGAGGACGTGTGGGTATATTAATCTCAGTGAGGCGAGTCCTTGGTGGGGGGCAGTGTGGTAGATCGATAGTCCACTAAACAGGGTTTCTGTTATCCATGTGGAGGGCACAGGAAGGATTTGAGCTGGAGGGGAACTGAGCTCCAGCAATACGAGAGCTGGACGCCGCTCAAACTGGCAAAGGTATACTCTCTGTGGGCAACATTAGCCAGCTCCCCTCACAAACCCAGTGACCCTGGCAGCCCGCACCGCCCCACACATTTGTTATATAGTCACTTATTCCTGGTAAGGACGAGGAGAGAGAGGGATGGGAAGAAGGAAAAAAAAAAAAAAGGGGGAGGCAGGCTACACATGGAACCAACTTGAAGAGGCTGCTAAGAGAGCGGACTATTGTTTGGACTGGTCGGTCTGTAGGGTGCTTCACCGACGAGCCGGTGTCGGCTGTGCAGAAAACCTCTCAGGGCTCGAGTGTTACGATAGTGTTTGGGCTTCGACTCAGCAGATCGTCGTGTTTACTCAGGCCGTGCCGTCGCGCTAATTTAAGGCACAATGATGCGACACGCCGCTGGTGTCACATCACCAGACTCTCGGCACTTGAAACATTTGCTCACATTGAAATTTAACATCGTGACATCAATACCAGTGGTGCTGATCTGAGCTTCTGTGATGGCACTGATTTTGGCTTCCTCATCTGATTTTCTGAATCATGAATCCCGACTCTGCTGTCTCAGTGTTTCAGTTGGGTTGTTTCCACGCTCCCTGGCTAACCCCACACTGCTCTGCTAAACACAGGAAAACAATGCAGGTAAAGAATGAATAACATGCCCTCGTTGTTAAATCATGGCCAAGTTAGTGGGAAATCCCAACTGGAGCTTTTATTGTGTTCAAGGTATTTTTATTAGACTGCGGTTTCAGTGCACGTTTGACCAAATATTTTCTGTGCTATATTTGACGTTCTTACCCTGCTGCTGCTTCTGGTGTGTTATATTTATATATATATATATATATATATATATATATATATATACACACACATTAGAGCCTCATGCCTTGATCTTGTTGAGGCTTTGGAGATTGGCAGGGAGACTGTACACAGTCCGGCCTCAGAGCCACAGTCAAGTGAATCAGACCTTCTGCTTTGTCAACTCCGTGGGAGGGGCCTCGCTTTATAGCAACCAGCTGTGTGTCTCTTAAAAGGGAGGATGTAAGGTCAGAAGTGTGACGTTTGCCAAAAATAAACCCGCACTCACCATAACCTGGGCTGCCACTACAAACCTGCCGTGTTACATTAAAACCTTCACCTGGCACCCGACCGCACAAGCTCCCCCGGTGTTCAAAGGGGAATTTAAACTCTGAGCGCGCTTCAGGAGTTTCCCCAAACCAGTATCTCTCAGTTTTATTAACGTGACTTTAATTTGATGAAACACATAGTTAATGGGATGATGTCGAGGCCGGGCGAACTGAATTTGAGTTAATAAATGTGTCATGTGGGTTATTGATGAATGCGAGGCCACTTCAGTTGAACACAGCTATACGAAGATAACTCTCCTGTGAATGATTCAGGCCCTCCATTGTGTCGCTGTCTTCTCTCTAGATGTGGAGCACAAGGAGGAGGACAGGCGTGCTGCAGTCAAGACCGAGGTAAGATTCTGATCAGTCTTCTTTTTTTCCTCTGGCTGGTGTTAACTCTCAAGGTGTCTTTCACACTCGCAAGGACTGTAGCTTCCTTTTGAGGGGGCGGGTCACCTTTCTTGTCACAAACCTGTGCTTGCCAGCGTGATAGATAGTCGTGGTGCAGCTTAAATAGAACAAGAAAAAGGACAGTTTTGGTGCAGAAACACTGAATCCAACTGGATTTTCCACCAGACTCCATCATGCTGGTATGTTATAAATACATCAACCCATCCGGCAACATTGTGGCTCAAGTTGTATGCTTGATGAGGGGAGGTTTACGTGTTGTTTTGCATGACTATAGCTGGGCAGGAATTGTTTGACATCTTGGGAAACACACTTTTCTTGCAGGGTTAGATGAGAAGATTTTAGAGTGTTAGCTTAGCTTAGCATAAAGACTGGAAATAGGAGAAAACAGCTAGTCTGGCTTTGTCATAAGACAGATACATTTCTTCTCTTTAAAAAGGAACAGTTCCACATCTTGGGAATTATGCTTATTTGCTTTCTTGTCGAGAGTTAGATGCCAGTCTCATATTTGTCACCGCTAACTCTCAGCAAGAAAGTACATTACGCTTTTTTTTGTGTATTGTTCAACTTTTTGAAGACTACTCTCCCACGAGGAGCTTGCACCGACAGTAAACCGTATCTGCACCACTGCTAGACTAGAAGCTTAGTTATTTGCCTATCTTCAAGGTCCAGAAAACAACCGAGTAGTTCTCTTGCCTTTGGAAAGAAATGGTACCTAATGGTGAATATATTTGAAATATCAAATACACTTGGGAACTTGTCAAATCAGTTGGTGCTGGTGACCACGAGACTGTTGCCAGTGATTAGACACTGTGGCATCACTTCTTGCTGCCCGACCAATCACAAGCTGACGGCACCATACGGCCCACCAACATGCGAGTCAACATCTCTTTAGAAATCAGACAACCCCATGGCCTCAACCGCAAATGACTCACTGTCTCAACGGCTCTAGTGACAGACTGGAAGCACAGATTTATTACAAATCTGGATGCTTTTGAGAGAAAAAGGAAGAATCAAAAACAAGTAGCTAACTTTTTTTTTTTTTTTTTTTTTAACACCTTAAACAGGCAGGTCGAGGCAAGAGGGGAGTTGGTTGGGAGATAAGCCTTCGTCAGAGGCCCATGCCCAGAATAACCTTCCAGGCTGGTGACCCTTATTACATTAACAAGAGGACCAGAGAGGAATGGCTGGCCAAGTGGAAGATGGAGGTGAGTACCCCAGCTCTGTCCCAGCCACCGTAGATTACAAAGAGCCGGCGTGGAATAAAGCTGCCAGGGCCAAAGATAGGGCTTGTGGTGCGTAAAACGGCCAAGTGTATTTGATGGGTCATTTGATATCTCATGAAGGTACCATTTATTTCAGTAGATTTCCGGGGCCTTGGGCTCAGTTTCGCTCCTGCACTTCCTGACTTTGTTCTTGCCGATTGTATTCAGTTCAGGAAACTGTGACGTCTGCTATGGAAATGTTCATGTAAATTATGCTTTGCACCTGCTGTTTTTTCTCCCAATTTCATTGAGACGGTTTCTTTGGTGGAACATATTTCCAATTCAACTTTCCACATAAATACTGCACTAATAAAAAGAAACAAATCACTTGGTGGCCATCTTGGAGCTTTCAGCTACTAAATGGACCTCGTGGTGAGATCGTTTTGTCAACTTTCCAACGTCAAGAACACAAGAAGTCCTTGAGGTATTCAGAGAAATAGAAATATGACAACTTATCTACCCGTGAAGATCTTGTGATTCGATGGAAAACTACTAAATTATGGACCTTGCTTTGTCAACATTTTTTTACTGCACACAGCAATGCTCGCATACAAAACTCTGATTTCCTTTTGGACCATTAATGGAAACTCCTAATGCCGCATGATGTTAAATACTTACTAAATCATGTAACACATGACTCCTGGTAGTGATGCGATGTAGTGCAACTTCGTCTGCAACATAACGAGGAGTCCCCGTAGTATGAACGTGGGGTCTTCCATGTCTTCTGCCCCCCCTCGCTCTATTCTGGTGAGGGCTCGGAGAGCGGCCATAAAAATGTCTCCAGGGAAGAAATATTGCCAAATTAGCAGGACATGCTCGGGTCCCACAAGTGAAATGTTGTGATATACGAGGCAAGTAGGAAATATATATACGTCTACCAAACAGAGGTGGATCTTCTTCAACAAGTTGCTCTACAAGGCTGAGATTTAAGAGGATTTGCAAGATGCAAATCCGTATTATGTTTCCCCCCCCCCCCCCCCTTCTTCCCCCCATCTAGCGTATTGCAAGCTTTGATCTGATTTGCACAAAGACTGATTTGTTTTGGCATCGAAGCCTTCCTCCCGAGGAGGAACATGCTGCACATCTTTTAGTTTTAGTTCTGCTCTTGACACAGAGCGTTGCTGTTGCATGTTTCTGCAGCAGGGAGGACATGGTGGCTGAAAGGGTTACTGGCGTCTTGCACTTCTCCGGGATCTCTCTCTCTCTCTCTTTTTTTTCATGTGCCTTGTGTTACAGTGGACTTCTCCGTCTCTCCCTCTGCGTTTCCCTCCCCCATTCTTCTCCTGACCCCTCCCCCAGCTATGGAAATGAACTCTGTGCTATGGATATATGGAGGGTGAAGATGAGGTTTGCAGCAAATTTCCAGCCCTGCTTTGCAAGACAGCCTCTTGGCTCGCAGCCAACATTTTGCAAGTCCTCTCTAGCCAACCAGAATTCCTGTCGGCAATCACCTGACCCTGAATTCCCAGACAAAGAAATGTTCATGCTTTCTTTTTTTAAGCGATCTCTTCTACCCTGAGAGTGGGGGTGAAAAAAAACTCAAGCCCCACACTGGATTATGAGGGTTGCGCGCTGGTGTGTATGGGTATGTGCACTGCATTGTTTGTTTGCTAACATGGAGGGATAGTGTGCATGTCTGATTAGCCCGCTTACAGCGAGGGGAATATGCTGACTTCAGGTATTTCCATAGGAGTTGCCGTGGACCATCTGCTCTGCTCGGCTTAAAGGGAAACCGTCTCTTTAAAAAAAAAAAAAAAAAAAAAAAAAAGGAAGAGAGAGCAGGCTTTAGCCGTGTTTGGGAAAAACTTGCTCGCGCGAAAAAAGTTTTCCCCGTGGGGTGAATATGTGCTGAAGCTATTTCCTGTTTCATAGCAGCACCTAGAAATGTCAGAGTAGCTTCATTTCATTTTAGGACGGATGTATTTACCTTTAGGAATGTTGCTGTTTGGTGAGAGCCACCACGATTTCACCTCACACAACACTTCACTTGGAAAAAAGGTGAAGTTGTGTCGGCCTCACATCTCTTTCCTTCCTGTCATTGTGTACTTTGCTCTGTTTGACTTGAGATTTACTAGAAGGAGACTTATTTGATAACGTTGAAAAGATTTTAAAAGGCTTCGGAGGAAGACGAGCAGCCTCCTCGGGGAGCTTCTTTTTTTTTTTAACAACTCCACTTGTGGATTCATGGGAATTCTGTTTATGTATTCAAGGCTGACTCTGTAATATTCCTAATTATCTCTTAAAAGGATGCAACACAATGAGGACCAGATGGCCTATTTGAGTGTGACCCCCCCCCAAGGCCACTCATGAAATACACAGCCTTTGTAGGGATCTGTGCTAAAATCAGGCTAATGAATGCAGTGACCACATCGCTGCACAACGGAACCTGCCACTTGTGCTTTTCCACACAGTATTTCCACTTTAAACACTTCTTCGTGGTTTGGGATCCGCTTTTCTGTTGCATCTTGAGTTACTTACACCTGTCGTGACTTAGGGAACTTTTTTTTATTATTTGTTCGCTCAGCAGATAAGCTCGTACTGAGGACATATGTCACTGCATAATCCATCTAACAATTACACAAAACAGACCCCGCTGCGTCTCTCCTGCCTGTTGCGCATGAGAGACTATTGCATTCACAAGGTCAAACTCTTTTGTGTTGCTTCAGAGACCTGCTGTCACGTTGTGGGAGGAAGTAATGTTCAGTGACAGTTTATTTCATTTCACTTTTACCTTGAATCAGAGTTTGCTGAATGTTTTGACTCAACGGCACCTGAACGGCTACTTTAACATCGTTTCTTTCTCTAATGTCACATTTGTTTGATGCTCGTTGTCTTCGTCCCCTTTTTAAATACGAGTTTTCAGTGTTTCACTTCAACAACTGCACTTTTGACTCTTTGAGACTGAGAAATGTTCCTCGTAATGTTCACAGCCTTATAATAGGCGGCTTTATGTCATATAAATAACTGAAGCTGTGCTGTAAATGTGACCTTTTTGTTAACAATTACCGCCAAGATTAGATAGAGGTATTAGCTCCACGCCCCAGAGACCAATATTCTCTTCCCTTTTCTCTGCCTCACAGTGCACTCCGTCACCCCTTGAGCCCTCAGGGTCTCCCGCTGCAGAGACCTCTAGGTCAGATCATCCCTTATTGTGCACCCAACATGTCTCCACACTGCCAGAGGCCTGTGCAGCTTCTGCTTTCACTCTATCCATTACAAAATCCACACTTACGTCGGTACAGTTAGGTTTGGTTTTCCATAATATTCATATATCCCCTTTCCAAGGGGAAAAAGTGTAGATGTGTTGGCTGTGAGGTTGTTTTGCACATTTGCTCGGCTGTGGTTCTACATCTATAGTACGTCTGCTGTCATTTGTGGAATTTGTTTTCAGCGCCGGCGTGACAGCGGATATAAGTGGTGGTATTTCTGAGCTGTCAGTGACGGGCAGGCGTGTGTAAATGATAAAGACTGCATTGTGGCTCTGCTACCTCCTTTCCTATTTCCCCCTTTAGCCTCAGAGGATCTGTCTTGCTGGTGGAGCTGCACGCGCACACACACACACACACACACACACACACACACACACACACACACTGTGAGGCCCCAAAAAGGGGCCCATTTACTACTGGGAAGAAGTCCAGAAACAAATATCTGGTTCTTATAGCCACTGTACTTTCTCTCCTCCCCCCACTGGCATATTTTAGCGTCACTTTCTGATTGGCTCCGAGGAGACGGAACCCTGGAGACAGCCTGACCCAAAACACACCAGAATGAGCACACTAATAGTAGCCCAGCCGCTTTATTGCCATTCACAGAACCCCCAGTGTCCTTGTGATTACTGGACACCAGAGAAGAAGAAGCTCACTCAGGAGCAAACTAATAAAATGTCGCTTTGCAGTTATTCTGTCAGACCATTTCTTCCAGAAACGGCTCTTCTCACTTCTCACAATTATTACAGATTGTTTCTCCCGATTTAATTGACATTTGTTAGTTTTTGCAGTTTGCCATCTGGAACCACACATCCAAGCAGGCTGTCGAGCACTAACTCCAATGTGCTCGTGCTGGAGCCAAGAAGCCCAACACATATGGCCAAGGGCTTTGAACCGTCCATCCAACAGTACAGTGCAGATATTTATAAACCACAGCAGAGCCTCTTGATTGAAGAGCACATGTTTCTACTCTTCAGCGCCGAAACCCCTCCTCGTGCCGTCTAAGCACCACCTCCCCTTAAAGGCGCTTTTGTTTATGAGTCACACTGGGAGAGACAGAGAGAGAGAGGTCGGAGGACTGTGCAGTCTCTCCCCTTCTTGCCTTCCTTCCTCCTCTTCCTACACGCCCAGTCCACCTCTGGACATTTACAGTGTGTGTGTGAGAGAGACCTGAGAACCTGAGAAGGACTCCAGCGAAAGTAAGCACAGCTGTGCAGCGCTGCGCTCACGTGGATCCTATAGTATGACTAACACGTGTTTACATATAGGAGTGCAGATATACTGTATATTCTGCATGCGTGTGCTGAAGAAAAAGAGGAGAAGAAAGTTAACATGTGTGTACATGTGAGTCCTACCGTGTGTGTTTGAGAGAGAGAGATAGATCAGAATGAGTGCAGCTGTTGGGGGGATTTACTGTGAGAGGCTTAAGTCCCGGCTGCGTCTCGTCCTCTCTGATCGACCTAGCGGTTTAGTGGCTGGTACCACAAACCCAGTGAACTCTCCGCTGCAGCTCTGGACACGATAGAGTTACTGTATACCGTGCTGTTGATGAATGGGCTTTACAGTCGGAGATAAAGCCATGTTTACAATGGCTGTCGGGCTCCCACAGTCAACATTCTGCACTTACACAGCAGAGACGACGTGCCCGCATTGTGATGCACAGAGGAAAATGCTACCGGCCTCTCTGTAAACTGTGTTCGGTAGTAACACAATGTTATTGAGAGACCTGCATGGGCATGATTCAGGCAGAATGCATGATTACATATATGATATGATCACGTAGCGTGCATTAATCAATATATTTAAATGAAAAATGCGTCAGACGTGTGTGTAATGGGAAAGTGACAAACCCACAGAACAATGCTTGGTCAGATTCTACTTTCTTCTTTGACACATTTCCTGATTTATTTGGTCCTCTTCTTTGCAAAGTTTAGCGTTAGCCAGGAGCCATGGTTAGCTGGACATTGTGGCCTAAAATTAGAGTTTTTTGGGGGGTTGCTGAGGATGTTGTTTTGGTTTTGTTAGCCGTCTCGTTTCTTTCTATTCCTTTTAGAACAATTTTCTGTCAAGTTTTTATCTCTTTCAAGAGTTTTTTACATAATTAGTGAGAGAGGATTTTCCCAAACCGCCCTATTTGTAAATTTGTAAGCAGAAGTTAGATATTTCAAATTTAACAGTAACTTATCATGAGAAACTCACGTTTTCAGTGCTTGTGCACATGCATTTGGGTATCTGGAATGCCTGCCAACCCAAAAACTGTGAAATAAGACAACACAGTCAGTTCTTTGTGGGCCGCCTAGATCAGAAATCATGTGATTCAACCAGCCATTCAATTGTGTTTACGTTAAAGCAAATAAAGATGTGCTCATAGAAACCCAAAAAACAAGTATGAACAGGAAAATGAGCGTGATATATCCCCTTTAAATCTTTTTTTTGTACACTGCATCTTTGAAGACCTGTCCCCCTCACTGCTGTCACTGGGCTGTGTTTCAGGCAGAAAAAAGGTCCAAACTGACGTCAGCAATGAGCGCGATGAAGGATCACGAGGAGAACGAAACAGAGACTCAGATAGAAGACGTCTCAATAATCAAGCACCCATCACCTTCGAAGCAGCAGCAGCAGCCTCAGCTGCACACTCAGTCACAGCCTCAGTATCAACAGCAATCACAGCCATCGCTGCCACAACAACAACAAAAACAACATCAGCAGCAGCCGCCTCAGCAGCCTACTGACCCCGCCTCCCCAACTGTGGCCACGACCCCTGAGCCCGTCGCCATAGAAGGCGGAGACAACACGTGCCCCAAGCCGGCAGATACTGAGCCCGAGTATGAGGTGAGATGGTATTGATTGACACTGATTAATGTCTGGCTGCAGACCAACAGGAAGTCCTGATTGGGAAAAGGATTTAGAGTAAGGCCAAGATTAATCCACGCCGAGTAAAGCCGCCATTTTGGAATTCATGCTCTTCAGGTGTTTTACAACTGATCCGAAATTTTACAAAGATACCAAATATGCCATGTTGACTTTTAATGAAACGAGTATAAAATGATCTAGAAGATCTACAGCACATTTACATTTAATATAATTCAGCATTAAACATTTTTTATCAACAAAACAATTTCCAAAAATACCAAAAAGTCCAGTCCCAGTTTCTTAGTCTAAAGATTGTGCTGCTTATTTGTCTGAAGCGATCATAAGAATTAAATGTCTTGAATTTGAAGAGGTCAGCTGGGGATTCATTTTACATTTTACTGACAAAGAATAAAACAATTAATCAATAAAATAATCCAGAGATAATGAAAGTAATCCAGAATTAGCAGCCCTGATCCATACTATGATGAATCAGCTTTACATATCGTCACTATAGTAGATATGTTGTGATATAATTGTTTTATAACATAATTTAATATATAGCATAATAATAATATAATTTAACTTTTGGTCTCCAATGTGTAGAGGAGGTTGTGTATCACCGGGAAGATGCTCACTGTCCGCCCTGATGCATATACGTTGACAATCTATCTATCATTCTGTAAACCATGTGTGTCTGTCCCACAAAATGGTTTCACAGATTATGCCCAGAAGTTAATATTGAGCGGATGATTTGTCTTTTACTTTGGCTACAGGACGATCGTGGTTTTGGCATCGGCGAGCTGGTTTGGGGAAAGCTTCGAGGGTTCTCGTGGTGGCCGGGCCGCATTGTATCCTGGTATATGACGGGACGGAGCAGAGCTGCCGAGGGTACCAGATGGGTGATGTGGTTTGGAGATGGAAAGTTCTCAGTGGTGAGTGTTTGGAGCCAGCGTTAATATCGCTGTCAGGTGATTACATTTTCTTTTCCACCATAAATTAAGCAAAACAGCCTTTTGTTTATAGTAACAACCAGCATAAACACAAGAGCCATCAATCTCCAGACACGTTTTACCTCAACACAAGTCTTCTAACGTGTGACCAAAAGAATTAAATTATTATCTGTGTATTTTTTTTACAGGTTTGTGTAGAGAAACTCATGCCTTTAAGTTCCTTCAATAATGCCTTTCACCAACCAACTTACAACAAGCAGCCCATGTACAAGAAGGCCATCTATGAGGTGCTACAGGTGAGTAACAAGAGCAACAAAGTCCCGCTGTCAGTTTAAATGATCTTGATTGATGACATAGAATTCAAATGCTTATATTTTTACAGCGACTTAAAGGAGAACTTCTGTAATTTTCATCCTGGACCCTATTTTCGCATGTTTTTTATGTCTAAGTGACTAATTGGGACATTTGGTCCAGTATTGAGCTAGAGCTCTGCAGCCACGAAAGTTCAGTGCAATTAACAGAAAGATACAAAAAAAATGTAATTTCAAAATAAATGCGTAGATGAGGAATAAAGAGAAAATAATTACGATCCCTTGCTGAAGCCTTTTGTTGAGACATTGCTCACACTGAATGATTTAGCAGCTGATCATTTCTGTAAGTATATTGAGGATGAACTTCCGTCATTAATGTTCTTATGTGTTCACAGGCGGCGTGCAGCCGGGCAGGAAAAGCCTTCATGGCCTGCCCGGACAGTGATGAGACGGAAACCTCTAAATCTGTAGAGATGCTGAACAAGCAGATGATTGACTGGGCTATGACAGGATTCCAACCCACTGGACCCAAGGCTTTAGAGCCACCAGAAGGTAAGAGGAAGTCACTCTTATGAAGCTTGAATTGTTGGACAACTGGGAGTCTTGACTTGCATTCCCAAGAAACGTCCCATGTGTATGAATAATAGACCTCTGGAACTACAAATCTATTAAGTTAAGCACGTGATTGAATAACTCCTAATGTCGCCTGTAATATTAATTGTCTGACATGCTGTGCACTCCAGAGGAGCGTAACCCATATAAAGAGGTTTACCCCGAGATGTGGGTGGAGCCTGAAGCGGCAGCTTACACGCCTCCGCCAGCCAAAAAGCTTCGCAAGAGCACAGCAGAGAAACCCAAAGTCAAGGACATTGTTGATGAGAGGACACGAGGTAAGGTGCCTCATTTATGAGGTTAAATAGGAGTCCTGAACCCTATATGTCCTCCCATGGGGTGGACACAGCAGAGGAAGTGGTCGGAGACGTAGTGTGTGACAGGAGGTCCATTAGAGAGGCAGCTTTCTACAGTGTTTTCCACTGTAAGGTTTAGTCATTTAACACACCTAGTACTTTTCACAACCACTAACATATTAAGTCATCAGCTGTAGTCTGCACACTCGAGAACATTAAAGTCCAATTTTTGAATTTCAGAGTTTCCAACTTCTAGCATCATTTCGTCTTTTACATTCATAACTAAATTATTTACTTTATGTATTTATGCACAAACACATTTTTGATTTGCACAGATGGTTGCATGAGTTGTAGTTGGATAAATAAACTTAAAGTTAGAGGTTGAAAGGAAACAATACTTTGAACTGTTGACCTCACAAATGCATTGTCGCGAGTTGATTTCGTTAACCTACATTCCTCACGAGGTGCATCGTGTGTTGTGTTTTCAGAACGGCTTGTTCAGGAAGTGAGACAAAAGTGCCGCAGCCTAGAGGGTAAGTGTTGTGTCCTGTGAACACTTCCCCTTGTTGTTGAAAGCAGAAATCTATGCGTCAATGTTAATAAAACTGTAAAAAGCCATTTCCATGATTTCTGTTTTATTGCGAGGTCTCTCTAAGCTCATTAGATCTCCACCTCCGTCGGAGCTGTTCAAACACTCTCATTGAAGTGAGAGGTTCACACCGCTCCGACCTCTCTCTGTTAAAACACTGACGTGCTGAACTTCTTCTTACAGATATCTGTATCTCCTGTGGGAGTCTGAATGTTAGCCTCGAGCACCCGCTGTTTGCTGGAGGAATGTGCCAGAGCTGTAAGGTAAGCTGTGATAGAGGTCATTACAATCGTAAAAAACAACAACAACACACACACGCACACACACACAGCTCCTTTCAAAGCTAATATACTGAACATATTTCAAGCGGCACCTGATGTAACCCCCGTGAAATTCTAGGTTTTAAATATGTCAAACTGCTCACTGTGTTGTCTCTTTTCTTTCCCAGTACTGCTTCCTAGAATGTGGATATCAATATGACGACGACGGCTACCAGTCCTACTGCACGATCTGCTGCGGAGGACGGGAGGTGCTCATGTGTGGAAACAACAACTGCTGTCGGTAAGATTTACTGGGTTCTACTGTGGAATGGAGTCGGCAGGTGGTGATAGAAACCATAACGGTCACAATATCTTCATCGATGGTGTAAATGTTAATCACGACAGCATCCTTTGCACTAAGGATACAGTATACTGTCAGCGCTTTACTGAATCTCCAGAAAATCTGTGGAGGAATATGCAAATTGATGCACGTTTCCGAGTTGAATGGAGCGAGGTAAACTGTTTATGGCGGTGAATTATCCGGACAGACGCTATTAAACTGTTGCAAAAGAAGAGGCCGCAACGGGACGACGTCATTAAAAGAAGAATGCCAGTCAGACCTCCAATAAATTTCCGGCGTTTCCGCTCCATTTTTAAATGCGCATAAAGATTTAAATAAAAGGATAAATAAATAATAAAAATAGCTCGCACATACTGAAGGGAGAGACCCAGTCCACCGTGAAATTAAACAGACACAGTAGGTTCTGAGCTGTGCTTGAAACGGACACTGTTGATTTTTTATATTGGTCCCAAAAAAGGCCCCGAGGAAGAGTTCCGTCTTCCAAATGACCTTTTTAATCTACAGAGTCTCAGAGGATGCTTAAACATATCCACTGTAATAACTGAAGATAACAATATGTTTGGTATTTCAGATATGTCCCCAAATAAACATAAAGGACTCCTTACTGAACCAAACCATCCACCCAGAACTTTGATCTACAATGACCTGACTGACATAGACTGCGGTGTACAATGTGCTGTTTTCAATTCCCTGTATGTGGAACTCAGGCCAAAGCCCTTCTAATAACTTTTTTAAAAATGGGTCATGAATATATACAGTTTAATAAAAATAAAAAAGGGCTTAATAATTCCCTAAAATTCCTAAGAAACTTAGTTGTGCAAACGTTACTAAGACATGAGCGTGCAAATGAATTTGTTGCACTAGTATTAAGTAAACTACAACGGCCATGTTTATTATGTTAACATGTCACCCTTTTGCACAAAACAACACCATCTTCTACCAGATACTAGGTAGATATATTATCACTTGTACCGATTGACCACCTTGGCCTGTGTGCAGGTGTTTCTGTGTGGAGTGTGTCGACCTCCTCGTTGGCGAGGGAGCGGCCCACGCAGCCATCAAAGAGGACCCGTGGAACTGCTTCATGTGTGGTCAGAAGGATGCGTTCGGTCTACTGGGGCGTCGCACTGACTGGCCCACCCGTCTCCAGCACTTCTTTGCAAATAATCATGACCAAGATTTCGTGAGTAATGGACCTTTATTAAGGCTATAAATCACACTAACTGTCTCACTTAGGAGTCTGTATGTGTCTCACTTTATTCACTCTGTGTGTTATATTTCAGGATGCACCAAAGCTTTACCCCCCAGTCATGGTGGAGAAGAGGAAGCCCATTCGTGTCCTGTCGCTGTTTGACGGCATCGCAACAGGTTAGACAAGAACTGAATCTATTCAATTCAAATGCCCCGATCTTTATTAAACGCAGCATTTGGTCACAGGTATCCTTTTAGTCGACTATGGACAATAAATAATGGACAATAAATATAAATATAATAAAATATATATATATTTTTACAGTGCTTTCCTAGTAGTAACTTTGTTATCTATCAAAGAATCACACATGAAACCGAATCTTATAACACCACCATAGTCTTTGTAAGTACTACTCGGCGTATGATTTGTTTATAAATCAGAGGCGCGGCAGAACTACACATCACTTTTTGCTTTCTATCATGCAGTGTTCATTGGTTTTGGTGTTTGGTGGTCTCAGCTGTCTATGTTCCTGTGCAGGGCTATTGGTGCTGAAAGAACTCGGCATCGAGGTGGATCGCTATATAGCTTCTGAAGTGTGTGAGGACTCCATCACTGTGGGCATCGTCCGTCATCAGGGTCGCATCATGTATGTTGGCGATGTGAGGAGTGTCACACGCAAACATGTGAGTTTCATTTGTTACTATGTTAATTCATACACTGAGTTTGCTTATGCAACTGCACTGACTGGTGAAATACGCTCGTAACAACTTTTCCGTGGGAAGTACATATTGAACGCCTGAGTAAATACAGCGACGATAGTGAGCTATGTTTACAGATGTCTTGCTAGGAAACCGCAAAAATCCTGCAAGAGCTTTAATTCAGCTTAACAGTCATAACGCGTGTCCCTGCCTGAGGAAGCTCCACTGCAGCAAAGGGTGGTCGAGTATCTGGTGTCAGCAAAACTATATTAGGAATGATTTTAATGTAAGAAAAAGAAACCGTGTATCATCTTAAATGCAGGTACCCCCGATGAGGACGTTACGTGTTCTCCCTGCTTGAAATCCTGACACGATGTACAGATGTTTGCATGGACCGCTTTGCTTTGTAACAACGTCAGTTAGCAACTAACCTCGTGCTCTACCGACACTGCTAAATTTGTTTGCTGATTTCCTGACTGCAGGACTCAAAGCTCTGCTGTGTGAAATTCCTCTTTTTACTATTTGGCAACATTTCTGTGAATGAAAGTTGCCCACAAACAGAGCGGAACATGTCACCTTATATGGAAGTTTTAGTGGTGCTAATGGTCAAATTTCACAAACGCGTACTTCCTCGTAAAGAGGCCGCACTCATCAGGCTGAAACGAGCAATTTATGACAAGTTAAGGGAGTTTAGTATTTGGCAAACACGTGTACAAAGAAAAAAGGAAGATAAGTTCAGCATAAGAATAAAAAAATGTTACTGCATGAGACCCAGCAGTGGGTCTAACCCGGCCAAATATAAAATCTCTTCTGCCTGACTATCAAGGCTCCTTAACATGACTGATATACGGTTCACTGACATCATATTACATCATTCCTGGCCAATTTTTCAAGAGAAAAACTAAAATGTTGCTCCAAAGTTCATGAAGACAATAAAGGACGAGACTAAAACACAATAAAAACCGTATTACGCGTCCATTAGACTCTACAAGTAGAAATGAACTGGTCCGGTGTTTGTTGGAGCGTAAGGCTGGATCACTTTATCTTACGACGTATTGCTAACTATACCGGCTCTGTCTTTATCTCTGTTTCTTATCCATGTACAGATAATGGAGTGGGGTCCTTTTGACCTAGTTATTGGTGGAAGCCCATGCAATGACCTCTCGATAGTCAATCCTGCTAGGAAAGGTCTCTTTGGTAGGTTCACTGTTCAGACTCTCTTTGTGATGTTGTTTTGGATCAAGATCATGTCAAATACCGATAAAGCTGATTATCTGAATAGACAAATCACAAAAGTACCATCAGTATGTGCCCCTTACTGAACCTCCACCACTGTTCAATGTACGGCTTCTGTCCCAGAGGGCACCGGGCGCCTGTTCTTTGAGTTTTACAGGCTGCTCCACGAGGCCCGGCCGAAGGAGGGGGAGAACCGGCCTTTCTTCTGGCTCTTTGAAAACGTGGTGGCCATGGGTGTCAGCGATAAGAGGGACATATCTCGCTTTTTAGAGGTCAGCTTCTCTCTGTCCGCTTAACATTTATCTAATCCTCCAGGTCATAACTGGTCATAACTTCTAGATACAGTTTGACGTGACACAAAGGCCTGATGGCTTATGAATGCCCCCTTGTGGCACTAATTCATTATCTTTAGACACAGATCATGAGAAGGGAGCACTGACTCTTAATCTTTATATAATATGTACTACTAATAATGTACTATGTTTAATGTACTGGTCTTCTGCTATCTATATTGCTTTTTGTCATGTTAAGACATGGTTTGGCTTTTAATCCCTTTTAAATGGTGGGATGACCTGAGCCTAAATTGCCTTTAGTCAATCAAACTACAGGATTTTTGTATCCAATACCAGTAATACTGTGCTATTAAATGGTAACTCTACTTCTCCTGTAATACACTGTATGTGACGCAGCATTTTACCTTGGTTCCCGGAGTCACTTCTCCTCTGCTTTACTTGGATTCCAGTGCAACCCAGTGATGATCGATGCCAAGGAAGTGTCCGCTGCCCACCGCGCCCGTTACTTCTGGGGTAACCTTCCTGGCATGAACAGGTTGGTGTGCGAATGGTGAGGGAAGCAGCTGCCTGTGACATACACAATGGAAGAAAATATACCCTTGGAGCAAGGGACTAAATCAACATAGCCTCCTTCTGACATTATGGTTAGAGTCTCGCTCAAGAAGTATCTTCCTTCTCTAATCTGGCAAGGTGACGTGTTGCCGGAAGACAATGGTGGAAAACGTGAATGAGTTTGTTGTGTTGGAGAGCAGAAAGCGTCGCTTATTGTGAACTAAACGATGTCTAATGTCATGGCTGGATATTTAGATGATTTGGAGAATATGGATGAAGTCTTTAAATTCAATGCCCGCCCGTGTTTATTTGAGTATCTGTCGGTTACAGCACTATCCTTCTTCACTGTTTAAAAAATTGTTGTCCCCATTAGTGACTTAGATGCAAAAACATGCGAAAATTGGGTCCAGGTGTCCAGTGAACACCATGCATCTCCACATGTTGGTGAATTTGAATGTCAATGCAAAATACACATTAATGCAGCAGTAATTCAAAAACATACATAATAGTAAAACACTAACAGGGAACAATTAATTTAACGCAGAGTACTTTTAAAACTTTGAGTACCTTTTGCTTCTAATACTTGCCTACTTTGTAAGGTTTTAAGTGCAGGCCTTTGGCTGGTAAAGGAGTATTTTCACGGTCAGTACTTTTACTTCTGTAAAGGATTTGAATACTTCTTCCACCACCGATTCATTCAGATGTTCCTGAGCTCAGCAGAAAGCTCATTAGCACGCGGAAATTTGCTGGCGAGCTAACGTTAGCTAACAGACTGCGCAGAAGTAACACCACGTGATCACAAATCAAACGTACCTCGAATTTACGCTTACGTGATTGGCTGAAATGAAAGGAGACATCTGATTGGCTACAGGTTGAATGGAGGGAAGTCTCAAGGAATTCACGCGTGACAAGCCAGTATAGGTTTCTTTATGAATGCAACAACATCCAAATATGTTTTTTGTTGAAAATTGCAAATACGTATATATGTGGATTTCTATAACATTAATTTAATACAATAAATTGTATTTTTGTTTTTTTCGTTGAAAAATATTTTTTGTCTCGAGAGACATTTTTCGATCCTTCTTAACACAGAAACCCATCTGATTACATGAATTCAGCCCAGCAAGTTGTGTGTAAATCTAATGAGGTGTGTGTAAGTTTGAACATATGAGTTGTCTATTTCAGAGGACACTTGAAAAGACAAACGACTCAATCTAATCACGGTCATGCCAGATCACAATCGGCTGAATAAAAGAAATGTGTGTTACTTAGTTAAGCATCAGATTTGTTAGCTGAAGTCGTCATCTAAATGTTGGCTCCTGTTCTTTCTCTTTGACAGGCCTTTGAGTGCTATGTACAGTGACCGGGTGGACCTCCAGGACTGTTTAGAACACGGCAGAACAGCTAAGGTACTTGTGTTGTACTTTGATTGCATTCAAAACATTTGAATTATGTTTTTCTCTATCCTCTCATGGGAAGAAAACCAGTTGTGACTAAGGTCATTTTAGTCAAAAAACAACAGCAAAAAATGTAATTAAATGAGAAAATATAAGAAAAACACAACATTGAATTTATTGCTCAAAGCAAAGCAACTTTGCACACGGGCGGCTCCCAGTGGCAGCAAGAGGTAACAATTTGAAAGTCCATCAGTCAGTCCTGTGAACTGAACCAAACACAGAATCCAATGCAGTACCGAGAGAGGTAAAATCTCAGGTTTTGCAGCTCTCGTATGCATTGAACGATGAAAAACAATTTAGACTAATGTTTCTTTCAGTTTGGCAAGGTGAGGACCATCACCACCAGGTCTAATTCCATCAAGCAGGGCAAGGACCAGCACTTCCCTGTGTGCATGAACGAGAAGGAAGACATCCTCTGGTGCACTGAGATGGAGAGGTACGTAAACACAAAGCTTGTCCTTCAAACTAAACTGTCACAGCTGTTTCAGCCATCAAAATCTCAAAATGATCTCCCTGTGTCTTCCCCTATTCTGCTCCCTGCCTGCCCGGCTGATTGTTTTTGGTTCTGACTGGTTCCCCTGTCAGGATCTTTGGCTTCCCAGTCCACTATACGGACGTGTCCAACATGAGCCGACTGGCAAGGCAAAGGCTCCTGGGCAGATCATGGAGCGTCCCGGTTATCCGCCACCTGTTTGCACCGCTCAAAGATTACTTCGCCTGTACTTGAGCGGCGGGAAAACTCGCTCGGAAACATTTAGGAACTACAACTGTATGTTGTGACTAGAAATAAGAGCCTTGATCCTCGAATTACACTCTTGTATAATTTGCAAGTGAAACTTTGACGTAGATTTCACATTATTTCTCGTGTTTGAATTGTAATTCTTATTCTATTTAATTTTGATATGTCATTTTACCTTTTAGCAGTGTTATCAAGTATTGTTGATTTGTTTGTGCAAGCTATACTTGAGACTATGCTTTCTTCTCACGACACTGAGACAGAAAAGTGCTAAACACGCGTGTTTTAAAAGAGACGGCAACGCGATGGGAAAGACCCGACAGATAGGAAAGGGTTTCAAGATATGTGAACTGTTTTCTGCTGTGTGAGCGTACTGTACGTCGGGGCGGCGAGATTTTCCCACCTGCGGTGCGGCCATGCTTCCAGCTACTGAGCCTCACAGAGATGTGACGAGAAAGGCAATCTTCTTCAGTGTCAGGAGAGCTGCGTCTCTAAGAATCCAAAACACCAGATCACATATACCTCTTTGTTTACAGTTTCTCTACACAACTGAAGGTAATAAAGGTACTACTGTAATATGGTTACAACACCATGGTGCTCCAAGGTGATGAGAAACATCATCGCCCATGTGGCACCGCAACTTTAGACAATACGGAGCTCTTTATCTGGTTGCTGGAAAACACTTGTGTTTGATGTTGAGAAAGAAAAAAACAATTCTGTTCTGTGTTGTTTTGTTCACTTGGAAGGAAAGTGACAGACGGTAGAATGCAGAACAGAGCATCATGCTCTGTTCTGCATTTCACAGCTTTTATACAGTTTGTACTGGTGCTCATTTAATCTCTCAGCCTTGCCACACTCAGGCTCGCTGCCTGGATCTGCACAAACGGAAAGTGACGCTAACCACGTGGGCGATGATGTTTTCTGTCATTCAAAAAAAACAAAAAAAAAAAAAACTTAAGATCAATGTCTGTGAAACTAGGTTGTTTTTCTAGTTTCATCCTGACCAATGATATTACTGTACAACTGTTAAGTAAGTGTGGTCGCTGGAGGGAGGGAGGGTGACCAGGCCGGGTAACTCTCCTCATCAACTTCCACCTCTCTAAACTGAAAAAACTGTCAGGTGCAAATCCTCAACAATATGGTGCGGCTTCACAACGTTCTTCTACCTTTTTATAGCAATTCTGTGCTGTTTTATCAACATTATAAAGCACTTTTTTATATGTATACTTTCTTTTTTTCTTGATATTTTAAAAAGAATATTGGTTCTTGTGAATTGTTTTGTTTTGTTTTATGATGTGAACTGATCTACCCTCGTGTAATACTTTTTTGTATACAGTAGGGCTGTGCCAATAGAAGTGAAAGAACGGATTTTGATATGTGAAACCCATGTTATTTGACTCGGTGTACAGTCGATGGATTGACATTTGTAACTCCAAACCCCTTTTCCCTTTCTCCATCATCCATATTGTTCCCTGTTTAACAGCAGCGATACAGTATGATACGACCCAGATTCAAAGAATGTCTATTTCTTTTAAGATTGTAAAATGTAAGACAGAGTTAGGGAACCATGTCATTCGCTTTGTATGATATTTTTGCCATTTCCCTGATAAATCGTAGTCGTCATGTTGACAAATTCAAGTGCTGATCCAAATTTGGATTACCTTCACAGACTAAATTCTCTTGATTGTAACCTCTAAGATAAACACGGAGGATCTAGGCTGCAGTTTGTCAAAACAAAAAACTGACACAGTGTCTGACGAAGATGTCGGTACTCAAAGAGTAAAAAAGGTAATAACAACAGATGTTATCTCTTATCTATATCCTATTTAAGATTCAAAATTTTAAATTTAATTTCTTAATGTAATTAATTTCTTAAGTGACCTTATTGCCATATGTTTTGTCCATGCACACTGGGCTCAATATGAGCTCTTGTGCTTTCTGATACTTTAACCAGATGTTATTTCCCCCCTCCTCCTATAATACTTACCCCCCCCCCCCCCCCGTGTTTGTACATTTTGTAGAGTTTTCCGGTTGCTGTTTTCAATTTGTTTTTATCTTTTTTTTTTTTAATTACGTATGTACAAATATAATTCTTTGCTAATATATATCATCAAATTAGGAAAAATCTTAGGTTAAAAATTAAAAAAAAATCAAGTGACAAATTTGATTCAAAACTTGCTTCGAGCAGTAGATGTAGGGAGACTCCAAGTCGACTACTTTATTGTACTGATTTGTTGGTGTCAAGTGAATCCAGATTTGAATGTCTTGTGATCTTGATAGTGGCCTATGGACAGCTTTAAGATGAACGCTCTCAACTTCACTGCACAGCCCTACATGGTGGTGTTATTTTGCTTCTCTTTCTTTTTGTAAGACTTCAAAAAGAGGGATTGTCGGCGTTTCTGATGGTGCTAAACATTTTATCTAAACAAGAAAAATATATTTGATTGGAAGAGAAATAATGTCTTGACAATGACTGTTTTTAAGTTCCCTTGTAGTAACGCAAAATAACTATTATTTCCCTCATATACATATATTAACAAAGGCATTTTAACTTTGTACTTGAAAAAATAAGGATAACAAATAATGAAAGGTTTCCTATATTGTTTTAGAATAGAGATTGCTGTAGTTGGTGCTTATCTGTGGGAAAATCGTGTGAGAAAAAAAAACTGTAGCATAATGTATGCTTAATACGCATTGCTTCTTAATCCTACATTCCATGCCGTAATATTCTCCATGTCTGTTTTCAAAATGTTGTTTTGAATTGATGTTTTTTTTTTTTTTTTTATATCAGAAACATTTGAGTTTTACTGTTCAAGGCAGGTCAATAATTCTATATTCGGTGAAACTGTTGACACTCTGTGTGACTTTCTTTCTGTCATAACTGTTTGTGGCCTATACGCTTTCCCTCAAGACCAGTTCGTACAGCAAATGTAGCAGTCATTCTCCACTTTGACCGAACCCCCCCCATACTTAAGTTTAGTGTCCAGAGAGAAGATAGAGGCTCCGTATGTACTTGTGCTGGAGAACACTTGAATAAATGTATTGTTTTTGTGCAAAAGTCTGTCACCTCCTGGTCTTTTTTAATCATATATGAATTGTACCTGACCTTTTTAAATTGAAGCCCTTAAACATATGGTTTTCTTGAATCTCAAATATTGCTCTGCAATATTGAATTCTCAATATTAAATGTTCCACAATCCAACAGCACATTTTTTTACAACTCAGTCAAGTTCAGAAAGAATTCAAAGTAGGTAAATCTTTTGTGAGAAAAAACAAAACATGGCTCTTCCTACGGTATGACTTATTATGTCAGGATTAGCATGACATAAGTATGACAGTAATTATTTGATACTATCTCAAAACTATGATGTGTAAAAAAAACATATAAAAACGTTATTAGTCGACAGAAATTGGCCTCCATGTCTGTAATAGACATTTTGACTTGTCAGAGCAGGAAAAGCACAAGAGATTACTAATAACATTAAGGATGGCTCTTTTCTACACAAGTACATAGTTATGTCATGAAAACTAAGTAAGAATTAAGAGAGATCTTGTAATTATGGGAAAATATCTCGTTAATGTGATACCTTGAAGTCAGATGGGGTGAAAACCACTTAATGATGAAAACCTTTTCTCAAGTGACAGAAATGGGCTTCCATTGACACATGGCCCCATTATAATGCAAATATTTGGAAAGCATAATTAATACTCGCATTACTCTGCTTAAGCTTCTAACTGTCAGGGGGGCTGATAGAAGAGATGTGGATATTGATATTCAGCTCCAGGCTCCATGCCATTGTGCCCTCCAGCAGGGGATTTGTTGCTCAGTGGCTTCTTGACACCTGGGTCTTCACTTAAATATAAGGGTGTTGCCCTGCAGCTCCTCTCTGATCAGACCTGAACATGTTGCCACTCCACCGCCTTCCATTCAGCCATCAATCACACAGAGTGTATGGGCTTGCACTTACATTTCCTACCAATGCCACATGCTCATAAATATATCATTTATCTGTTTTATGTTTCTTTTTGCTTCTATAATTGTTATCGATTAAACCCAGGTCGTGTAAGAAGACTAAGCTATACATATATCCAATCAAAGCTCATAAAGACATTCAAGCCATTACATCCATGATAACAAAGATGATAACACATTGTAGAAAATCTATTATGCACTGTATCACTCTGCTCTTATCGCCATGCCACCCTCTTCCTCCGATAGTGGTACAGCCTCCTCACACTGGACACGCCCTACGCCCAAAGTAATTGGTTTGCTTAGGCGACCGAGCCTTCACTCAGCGCTGCTGATTGGAGCGTCACACCGTCTCACTGCTGGGGGGCTGCAGGCTGCTTCAAGTTAACCACAGAAAGAGGGAATGGTACCGGGAAACCTGCGATTATCCTACAAAATAAAAGCAGAGATATGTGTCTAGAGAGGGGGTGTTTGTAGTGTACGTGCTTGTAGTCAAATTCGCTGAAGATGACCAATGCCAATGGATTGCTTTGATATAATATAAGGTAGTAAAAGACATGCAAATTGCATACGGGGGAATTTATTTTAATTTCATGCAGATCGCCTCTTAAAAGCAGTTTGGCCACTATTATTCCTCTGCACAGCGGGGAACAATTTGGATTTTATTTTGAAAGCCATAACCGGAGGTCTTACTTGTACTTCCTTGCTGACTTGACGGTGATGATGCTGCGGTCTGCTCGTCCCGGACCGGCCAGGAAGGCATCCATCTGGTGTATGTTGTGTGTCTATGTGTGTGTGTCTGTGAGTGTGTGCGTGTATCTCCTTGGGAAGTGCCATCCACGGATTGTGTTGCATTCTGTCCCTGTAAGAAAATAAGCAGAGAGCCGGGTGGAGCAGCAGCAGCATCGGGCCCAGAGAGGAGGTATGTGGACCACATCATCGGTTTTATTCGGACTAGTTGGCTGTAGCGCCTCGGGGGAGAAATCCTCTCCTTGGGAGACTTTGTGTCACATGCCCCCCCCGGCTACACGTCTGGGTGTCTGTCCTGCTCGCTTGTTCATGCCACCCTCCTAGTATCTCTACACACCCTGAATTACAACTATACACCTTCTTTACCTGGCTGCACGGCCGCGTATATTATAGCGTGCGGCCAGACTCGTCTTGGTGGTGGAGGAGGGAGAGGAGGGACTGGGGCGGACTGAGGGTTTCTAGGTCGCTAATGAACGCTGAGCGGCCGATCATGCCGGATGGAGACCGGTTTCTTTGTGTCAAGTCGCACAAGTGGAAGTGTCATCATTCCACCGCGATCACACGTTTGCAGTGAAATTACATCAAATGCCTGGATACTTATTCTGTTTATAACATCATAATACTACGACATGTACTTGCGGTTGCGTTGGATTTGTCGCGGGGATTTAATAGATTTAAGGGACAAGTCAAATAAATATAAAGACATTTGACCAATAGAACCAGGGCCTATAGTTGTATTATTGTACTCCAAAGTGAACATTTAAAACACTAGTAGTTCATTCTATAGTTGCATATATTTAATCATTAATCGGTTTTTGTGCAAGTCTTAAAACAGGTATCATAAGCTCACCTGTTTATTATTGACAAACCGGCGTCTAACTGAGCAATATAGGCCCCGTAAAAATATTAGTAATAACTTTATTATAGCCTGTAGCTGCCTCCAGGTTTTGAAGGACGTACACAGGAAATATTGCACGAGTGTTTCGCCTTATGACTGATATGGTATGAATGCCCATCCTAACGCATGCATCCTCCACATTGTCAACCATCAGACCTGGATGTGTAAAGGAGTCCATGCAGTAAAGTTGCCGCACCCTCATACGCACGCATCCTGCACGCAAGCACGCAGGATGGGCACACTCTCCCTCGCTCACACACACACACACACACACACACACACACACACACACACGCACACACACACACACACACAATACATCACATCATTACTACAGTGGTGTAAAAAGAAAGGGAGGAGGCAGATCCTGGAGATGGGTTCTTTGTTATTGTTGAATAGATAATCACTGATGATAAATGATCACAACCATGTTAACCAAATTATTTGAAGAAGATTCATTTTTCATTACTTTTACTGTAATTGTGTTGTACAGAATAGAACACAGTAGAGTAGAGCAACGTTTCTGGTTGTGACCAGAGCTGAAGCCAGAACTGTAGAAATACTGAGGTGATGAGACCTTTAATAAATATTTACTTATTCATTCAAGTTTGCAAATGTAATCTAGCAACACGAAGAGTAAGTGCTGTTTTAACTCTGAATACAATTCTGGATACTGAATCAATTATTCCTGTTTTGTGGTCTAAAATTCATCCAATTCGAATCTACTGGAGTTAAAAATACTGCAATCAGTCTAAAACATATGCACCAATTGGACATTTTTATAAGTTTAACTCTTTATAATTAGCTAAATTCACAGGAATAATATCAAAGACACAGCCTCATTGTCCTCAATGCATATCTATGAGCAGTTTAATTCATACTGTGGTTTTACCTTTTCAGATTTACATGCAGAAGAGGTAAAAGTATAGTATGTCGCAAGAAAAAAAAAAGAGCTTAATAAGTAGTAAAATATGTCTATTATAATTTCCTACCCTAGTAATCATCTGGCGACCCCTGAGATTCATCTTGCGACTCCTTTTGGGGTACTGATCCCTAGGTTGGGAAGCACTGGGGTAGAATAGAGGTATTTTCCATGAATAAAAGTCAAAGAAACTCACTTCAAATTTCTTAGTTCATATTTTTCAGCCGCTGTGATAGCTTAGTATTGAGTGAACGACATTATAAGTGGCTTTATGCCGCTTTAGTCCTTTCAAAATAATGGCCTTATTGACCCGTGTCTGGCCTCAGCTTCTTTCTATTCACCACTATGTCACTGTGCACTGAGACGTCAGGTCTCAGGCCGTGACTGACACAGTCTCGATGTCAGTCACAGCCTGACAGACTGGTCACAGGGCAGCATCACTGGTTCTTGTCTCTGCTAGACTTACTACACTGTCTCAGGATGAGGTACTGTAAAACGTTCTCCTTCTCAAGTTTCTTCAGGGAGAATTGCTTTAGCTGTAACTTTGTTTTAGTAGTTTTAGATTTAGTCAGTGTGCCACAGTTTTAGCAGCTGCTCACAACACCTGACAAAAAAAGGTTAAACTCCATCTTTTCCTCTCTCTCTCTCTCTCTCTTCCTCACAGAGCTATAGCCATGTCTTCCAGCTCAGCGATAGTGCGGATCCTGATAAAGGGCGGCAAGGTGGTGAACGACGACTGCACCCAGGAGGCCGACGTCTACATCGAGAACGGCATCATCGAGCAGGTGGGGAAGGAGCTGATGATCCCGGGTGGAGCCAAAGTGATCGACGCCTCGGGAAAACTGGTCCTCCCCGGGGGCATCGACACCAGCGTCCACCTGGAGGAGAGCTTCATGAACGCGACCACGGCAGATGACTTCTACAGCGGCACCAAGGTAACGTCCCGCTGGAAGTGGAAAGAGAGAAGAAGAGAGGAGGGTTTGGATTGGAAGTAGGGCATCTTGCATTGTCCTAATTGTAGAGCAGAGCAAAAGCAACACTTTATGTCACAGTATGTTTTTACAGTCGAAGCATGAATAAGAACCGTGTATCTGCACTTTCAGATTTTCTTGTTCTAGTTTTTGTAGTAAATTCCGCTCGACTCTCTTGAATATCCCAATTACTTTAGTATAGTTTATAATCACAAATATGTTGCTTTCTCTGTCAGATGGAGATCAATGAAAGCTCTTCAGTGATTCTAATTTTAGCCGAGATGTCAGAGAAGCTTCTTTAGTTTGGTTTTGATGAGATGAGACAGCTCGCTTAATATTTTGGTATCAAATATGTTGGTTATTTTGGACACAACCATACTTGCAATCAAAGTAAAATGACGAAATTAGAACAGAATGTAAACACTAAAACTGCAATAGTAAGATAATATTAAATATAAAGCATTAAAGCAGAGTGATAGAATACAGACATGTTAAAATGTATTTAATCTAGACCGATGATGGAGACAGTTTGAACACTAACAAGACTGCGTTTATTTGAAAGTATTTCATTTATCAGTAACATACTTTGGATGTTCTTACAGCCAAGCCATCAATCTTGGCGGTAGAGTCCAAATCGTCAGTTGATTAATCAATTGGTAAATGGACAGAAAGTTAATCGTTAACAGTTTTAGTCATTTTCTAAAGCAAAAATAGCAAACAGTCTCAGGTTTTACATTCTCAAATGTGAAGAACTCCTGGATGTATTACTCGTCTGTGATTGTAAACTGAATATCTTTGAGTCGGGTGGACAAAATCCAATTGGACTCAGATCTGTAAAATCCTCCTCAAACAGCCAGATGTCACAAATCCTGCTTCAAAATTGCAATTGTTAATCATAAAACTGCGAACAGAACCTGGATAACCGCTTAAAAATGTTGTATTAAAAAAAGCGAAGAAGCATTCAAATACAACAACAAGCTGCGAGCTAAAGTGCAAACTGGATGGGCATCTTTTACTGACTCCTGACATTAGAACAAATTATCTATTTTGATGATTCATCATTCAAGAAAACAACCAGTAGATTTAGAGATATGAAACTGACCTACTTGGCAGTTTTATTTGTTTTGTCACAAGTTTGCAGAGTCTGCGTTTCAGCAACATCACACAAAGATGATTTGGCACTTCGCTGTTGGCGCGGCTGCCAGAAAGTGTGGGATGAAGTCATCATGGCGGCTGATAAAGACTGGGATACCCCACTCTGCTTCAGGGCACCGTGATGACTCATTGCTCTGTAGCACTTTGAGATGACGGAGTCTGAGAGACGACGGAGGCCGGAGCTTCAATCGTTTTAGTAGACGCTGGTGACAGACACTATTCTCCTCATTCCTCTCTCCGTCTCCCCTCCTCGCCCCTCCCTCGCCCCTCCCTCGCCCCTCCCTACCGCTCCGCCAAAATAAGTCCGGAGACAAATGCAGATCAGTATCCGTGTCCATGGATACCGGGGGGGGGG